CCTGCCCCTTCCGTGCCAACACAAACACATCCAGAGCGTGGACTGACGGCAGCGTAACAAAACCAAACCCGATCAGTCTGTGCATGCTTCCTGTCTTCTGGAATCAGACCACATACGATTTCTACTTCCGATGAAAGAGAAATGATATCTGAAACAGAAATCAGATTATTTTAAGGCAAAAGAATTATTCTTCAGTACGCATATGCAAAAATATTCTATTTCTTTGGTGAAAATACTGTTCACTTCAAAACCAAACAAATAAACAACCTTCAGGCTGCTTTCCAATTGTAAGATGACTGAGAACAAGTTCTTATTAATCCTATCGAAAGAAAGAAACCACTCTCTTCCTCTCTAACTTTAAGTTTATCCCCAGTGGTGTTCTATCCCAATGGGTGCCAATGTCGCAGGAGAGAAAGCCAGCACCAAAACAAAGGCCCAGCAGAGCGAGGGCTGGGACTGCGGGGAGCATCGGCATGGAACACAGCAGTTTCCATGCAGTTATCAAGGGTGTGATGAAAAACCACAGCGCAACAATGAAGAGAAGTTGTATAGAAGTGGCACGGTGTACTGAGAGGGGCAACGAATGGTGGGAAGGTGGCATCCAGTTGTGCATTTTTCAACATGACTGAAGAGTTAGAAAGGGAAAAAGGGAAAAAAGACCTAAAAATTACATGACTGGGAAAAAAAAACAAAACAAACCAAAACGCCCCACGGCAGAGCATCCCTCCAGGATAAGGCTGCGTGGCCGGGAAGGCTCCCCGCTCCTCTCCCCGCAGCCCGGCCGGGGCAGCAGCCCCGCTCCGCCAGCGCTGAGCAGCCGGCCCGGCGCCGCAGCTCCAGAGCGGAGCGACTGTGAGCGGTACCGCCGGCGGAGCTCCCCGGGCCCGCAGCCGCAGCCCCTCCCTTCTGGCGGGACGGACGGAGCGCGGTCCGCGGCCCCGGCTGCGGGGACCCGACCCGGGGCAGGAGCGGCAGCCCTTTATAGCCGGCTCACACCTACACGCCGCTCCCAGAGCGCTGCAGCGCTGCCCGGAGCCGCATCCCCGCCCGCCGCGCTGCCATGGAGCCCCGCCGCCCGGCCCCGCTGCCGTTGCTGCTGCTGCTGCTCGCCGCCGGTGAGTGCCGCTTCCCGGGAACCGAGGCGGGGGTTGGGGCGGAGCGGGCAGCGCTCGGAGAGACGCGGCGAGGCGCAACTTCCCTCCCGAGCAGCGGCCGGCCCGCTGCTGCCAGGAGAGCCGCCTGACCGCTGCCGGGCGGCACGGAGCCGCCGCGCCGGAGGTCCCTTTACTCGCCCTCCCTTTACTCGCCCTCCCTTTACTCTTGGACTTCACGTTTCAAGTTCAGGATCCCCAGCCAGACTGCAGCCTGCACGTAGGGCAGCCGCCTGCCCGCCAGCCGAGGCGCCGAAGCGCGCCGTGCCGTGCCGTGCCGGGCCACATCGTAGGCATCGCTCGCGGCGGCACGGCTGCTCCCGCAGAGCGAGTCGGGCGCAGTGAATAAGGTACGGGTGGGTCCGTAATTAAAGGACCCCTGCCTCCTGCCTTACCCTCACACACAACTCACTGGGCAAATATTTAATTTTTTGGCTCCTGCTTATTAAACAGGTGTCCTGTTTATTCAACCGTATTAGAAAGCAGTTGTAATAGGCTACAGTTCATTTCCTCGTAGATTTTCTGAGCTATTCATCAATGCAGTACCTGACTGAACGTATTTCTTCCGTGCTCCTGTGAGCTATGCCCTCCTTTCTGAGTAGTCAGCGCACAGAAAAGCATCCACTAATTTTAGGCTCCTGCGGTGACATGAAGGAACCCCACGTCCTTTAGCACTGCTACGCCAGAGCGCGGCAAAGCGCGGCTCTCACTGCGCCCATGGAGCGCAGGCAGAGCAGGCAGAGCAGGCTGACAGAGCTCCTGCTGCACCTCTAGGATAAAAGCCACTTCTCCAGAAGAGCACTCAGCTGCCTGAAGTAAGAGATTCTCCTTTGTCTTCCTGCACTTCTTCACACGTCCCTACTGGTTCCTGAAGCAGGTGCTCTGTGCAGAGCTGAGCAGGGGCTGGGGGGAGGAAGGAAGAGCAATCACAGGGTTGAAGAGCAAGGAAGGCGCTCACATAATGGGGCCAGCAGAAGGTCCCACTAGGCTCACTGCCCCAGTTCTGCTTCCCGACCTCAGCGTGCCCCTGTTATTCCTTCTGCACTTTGTTCCTCCTCCAAGCCTTCATCCCTCGCGTCCAAACCTCAGCAGGAACATCAAGGGAAGCAATGAAAGACTGTTTCACTGCTTGTGGCAGCCTGGAGTGATCATTACAGAGAGGGCCTGCCTTCAGCCTGATGGCTCTGAGTCAGGCTTCGCACTCACCGTTCCGTAGGCAGGGAGCAGGGAGGGAAAGGTAATTTACCTCTTTCTCAATGCTTGTGCTGCAGAATCAGGCAAATGTATCTGTCCAAAGAAGTTTGCTATTTCTATAAGCTGTAGTCATGTATGGCAGTAGTCTGGGCCATGAGATGAGGTGAGAAAGGCCATTCCTGAGGGCTTATGAAACCAGTGGACAAATCTAAGCCAGAAAAAGAAAAAAGTGGTAATGCATACAGTTTGAGGGCATCCACTCCTGGCAGGATCTGAGAGGGGCATCAGAAAAACTGTTCTCTCCTAGTTTTCACGCTCCGAACTACTGGAGCACTATGACCTTACCAAGAAAACATCACTATGGGTAATCTTAAATATATTTGACATCAAAAATGTTTCTGTGGCCTCTGCCTTTGATAGCATGGCTTAGAATTTCTTGTAAAATCTACATGGACTATACAGGATACCGATGCCTAATGCAGCTATGTATCACAGTTTATGTAAAGCTCTGTATCTCAATAAAAATATAGTATCTGAAAAACTTTGCAACCCTTTCAAAGGGAAGAATGGTATAGGAAATACGGCCTGTCACAAAAAACTCATGTTTCTAAAGTGCCTTTCCCCCCCTACATGCAAATGGAAATTTAAGGGTCTGCTGTTTGGGTTTGTTTGTTTGTTTGTTTTAAATATTATTGCAAGGTACGCAGCCAGAAAGCCAGGAAAAATTATATAGGAAGGTGTGGCAGAAAATATCTTGCAAAGACATGATAATTGTGACATGATAATGTACAGCACAATCCAAGCTCTCAGGCGCCTGCATAGGCAGCAATCCAGAAGAAGTTTAAACTCCAAGCATGGCAGGACTCCAATTTGGGCAACAAAATTACAGATTTGAAATGAAGCGCAACACAAACATAACGGGATTACTTGGTGCTACTTCCTCTCAGGCTGTCTTTACTGTTTACTTAATTTCACTCTTCAGAAAGCCATGCATAGTTCTAATCTCTGTGTCTTAGTTATTGAAATCACAAAGACAACCATGGAGTTTGTCAAACAGCCCGTGGGGACAGAAGCAGTGCCCAGAGTAGTGCTGGGATTGTATGGATTTGTTTTCCCTTTGACCTTCACTTGTAAAGTGGCTGCCTGGCACCCAATTACATGGACAGACCTCGTCAGGGCTCTGGGGCTGCTTTGGCTTTCACCATCTCTAAAGCTTTCTCTCATCAGCTGACATTTTAGCAAAGATACAATTCCAGATATGTGATGATCACAGGAATTAAATATTGCGAGCATTTTGGAAGCCCTAACAGGACTGGATTCAAACTGTCTTGCTGTAGAGCATCTTTGTGCACTTGCTTGTACTTATTTCCTGTGACCTCTGGATATCATAGCAATGCAATTGTAATTTCTCGTACACATCACTAAGCCACCAAATTAAACCCAGTCTGGTTCCCTCCCTTTTTCCTCAGCCACAGTATTGTCTCCAATACAGCCACTCACAATTTGCACGACAAAAAGAAAACTCAGAGACAACGAAGATCCATTCCACACTTAAAAATATGAGTTACCCCCAAATGGCCTAGTAAAAGTATGACTGCTTTTTCAGGAATGCAAAATCAAACCCCCAGGAATATTCCCATCCTGACGAGAAATGAGCAACCGCTGTAAAAACAAATGTCACAGAACAATTTAAAAATGCATCTTAATCATAAACTATATGGAAATGCACAAGTATGTCACTCCACTTTTCAATTCTTTGATTTTATCCCATGGAAGTTCTGATAAAATATTCTGGAAAAGTTTTTAGGCTGCTAATACACTCATGCAACCCTTACCATTTTTATCCTCGCTGCTTCTGTAGTTCTGTGGTTCCAGGAGTCTCCTTCATTGCTTCTGTCATATTCAGGTCACAGCGCTTTTGCAACAGGCTTTTCCTTCAGCCATATTCACAGCATCTGGTACTGCGCAGTCTTGGTTTGCACCTGGATGACCAGGAGCTCTAATATAAACAAACTGCAAGAATAACAAGTTTGTTTCCTTTTCTTTAGCTTACATGGCACACTTCAAGGAATTTTACTTGAGCTCCCCAGGGAGAAGACTGTTCACTGCTTTCACCTCACCTGGATTTAAATAAGGGACTGGGATTTCTCCAAAGTTGGCAAACAATTCCCTGATGCAACCAGGAATAGAATTTACAAAGTCTCGCCTTTGTCTTCCTGTTTTCTATCCCTCCTGCATCTTCTTTCCCCATTGCCCAGGAACTGGTACACCCTGTAAAATCTTCACTTTCCTCAGGGGTCTCCTCAGAGTTACGACTATCACTCAAGCAGACCCAGCTTTGCCATCAACTGCTGTCACAGTTCCTTTGGCCACCACACAACTCTAGCCAAATTTCCACAAGCACTCAGGAGTGCAAACTGCTGCATTTGCAGCACTGCAGCCTCTCTGTAAGTTTTTTTTTTCAGCTGGGAATGCACTGCCTGTGAAAGTAACTCTTGCAGTGCTGTTGTGGAGATAACAGTTCGTTATGCCCCAAATGTACTCTTCTGCTACCCAGAGCTGAAACGTGTTACCTCAGAGCTGCAAAGGAAGCAGACATGACCAGGTATCCACAACAGCACCACAGAGGTTCCAGAACAGTCTCTGAAGTCCTGACATTCGTTACCAAAGTTAGAAGAAAAAAATAAAAAGGCTGTCTCTGAGTATTTCACCCAATACAAAGTAAACAGTTTTTCTTCCGCAGTTTATGGAGGCTCTCTGGGGGAAGCCCATGTTAGGAACCGAAGAGGAATTCTTGAATTAGCCGGAGCCATCAGGTGCACTACAGGGCGGTCTCCTTTTGCCTACCTACGTTACGGATGCTACTGCGGGCTGGGAGGAAGGGGATGGCCCAAGGACAGAGTGGACTGGTAAGCATAACTTCTTACCCGGGTAGCAAAGTGCTGAATGCTTGCAGATACCAAAGCAAGAAGTCTGGATTATCAGTTAGGCCTAGTTAACATCAATGTGGGAACTGAGTTTAAACGCAATGCAGAGTGCTAAGAAACTGTGAAGCATTAAAATGGAATTAGTGTAGATCTATGTGAGTCTTCAACTGAAATTCTTACCTTGCAAACACCGGCTTCACAGTACAACATAGTTTCCCAGCTGTTGCTGCTTGGCCAGGAGCTGAAGAACTAAAGACTTCTTGGAGAAGTTTTAAAGGCTCAAACATTCAATCTATTAAAAAAAAAAGTCATTGAAAAAATCTTTTTTTTTAGTTCTGCTCACCCCACTGTATTAGTAGTCAAAATAAGACACGAAACTGTGCAAAATTCAACCTGGTAAAAATAACAGTTGAGTAAAAGTAATAACAAGTTCTTACTAAAATGAACATGAAAACCAGTCCTCATATGTAGCACTACATCTCATTGCACTGACTAGCATCAATTTAATTTGTAATTGAACATTAGCTGACAGGAAGATGATTTCCTGGTTACAACAGTTACATAAGGGTTCACGTTTTCAAGTTTATCATTACATGCACCTCCCCACCACACACTACAGCTTAAGTTCCCACTTAGCAGACAGGTAAATCAAAAGGAAAACACCTGATGTTTACCATTAGAGCAGAACATACGGAAAGCCAATATCTGAAGCTTTTGTGATCAGACCTTACATTTTTAGAGTCTCCGCCAACTTATTTCAGGCCTTTGAGTATAAACACTACTATTTTAAAGACAGTTCTTGAGGTTGCTGCTGGGAACGGCTGGGACCACGTAGGAAAAGAAGGGTCAATTGGTAGTTCTTGGTCACTTACATACCTAAAGATAAGGGTGGAGCATCTGCAGTTTGCCAGTCTTGCCTTGTGGGTCTGATTTTCACATCGCAGAAGTCCCATGGTAACACGAAGGCTGTTCCCAGAGCACAGCTCGTTATTTGTGCGCTGGGTTTTAGCAGCTTCACGGCATTAAGAACAAGCTAGAAGTGAGCATATTTACTCTGCTTCTGCATTTGATCAGGAACAGTGCTAATTAACATGTAGCACCAAACACTCATCAAGCATTTCTTAAAGTTATAAGCTATCCTGTGGACTGCTTACATTCAGAATTAGATCTGCTAACAAGTAAATTATTCACATAGTAGTTACTGCTATTTAAATGTATCGCTATCGCTGATAAACATGGAGACAACTGCTTTCTCTATTGCTTTGATAAGACAACATTTAAAAATGTTAAAAACATTTAAAAATGTTTAAAAACATACATTCTGTTCTTTAAAGGCTTAAAAGTTATTGTAAAAAATTAAGCCATATTCTTGTAGACAACTATTTTTTGTAACCACATGAAGACTGGCACAAAGCTGTGGCAAAAGCAGCCCTATTGCTGGTTCATTTCTGTTAGTCCTGCTACCAACACTGAGTGCAGATTTTTGGTTGTTGGTTTTTTTTTTTTTTGGAAGACTTATTCCTACCTAAAATGGATGTACTGAGCTACTTCACAGGCACTGTGATGCTCAACTGTTCAGCACTGCAGGATGTTTAAATAAAGACTGGTAAGCATTTAATAAGTATGGGGAAAAAAAAACAGTAATTGCAAGTGGGAAAAGTCAGTGCTGTGAGCTCTATTGCAGACAAGTTCCTCAGGCAAGCTGAACACCACCTAAACATCACATGCCTACAGTAATACGATGCTTTTAGGTGGAAATGGAGTGAGCGAACACAAAGAGCTCACTGATACATCCTGTTCTTCCACTGAGTCAAAAAGAGCAGCTGGTTTGCAGTAAGACATCTGGGGTGATATGCTATGGCCTAACAGGTTTGCTCGTCCGCTGTTAGCAACTGTTACAATAACATCAATAATTGGAAGAAAAATAAGGCAGTTATTATCTGGCAAACTGTGCTGGTGTTTAATCATCACCTAGAGAGATGCTAGAGAAAGGGCTTACCCTTTTAAGTAGTTACTTTATTGAAAACTGAAAACATTTCAGATTCTTATGGATGAAAATACAGGGGAAGTTCAATGAGTTCAACATGTAGCAGACATTTCTCATCTTTAATCATAATACAGACAAAAGTGTTCTTCATCATACCTACTAAACAATTACCTTGTTTTGATTCCTGAGTAGGTAACTGCTTGCATGGATTATTTTATTCCTGTAACCTACAGAAACGTGCCACTCAAAACCATCCAGATGATGTGGCTGTGAATTACCACAGCATGCATTGAGGCAAGCCCATTTCTGTTACTCCCAGGTGCTGCTTTAACCACGACTGCTGCTATGGAAAGGCAGAGCAAGCAGGCTGCCACCCCAAGATAGAAAGTTACCACTGGGAATGCGAGGACAACACTGCTGTGTGTGGTGAGTGGACAGTTCTGGTTGTGAGTTTAGTTTGACTTGTACCAGTTGTCCCAGGGACTTCGCAGAAAGACATTCCTTAACTAACTACAAAATCCTTGTTTTGCCTTCCCTCCATTTCTGACTTCTTTGCCAGAGTAGGCAGCGTTTCCAGAAAGTACGGCTCTGCCAACTGAATCCAATTTCTTCTTCCAAATTCCCACTTGCTGACACACAACCAGAATTCCATTCTACAAGTTTTCACTACTCTTTCAGTAACACTAAAAATCCAAACCAAATGCACAGCACAGAAATGACGCCGGCCACCTTTTCACTCCAGCTGAAAGACAGCTGATGTGCAGGAGGGAGCCCACGTTACACCACAGCCTGCACCACACAGACCCTCTACTTGCTAATTGCCTCCTCTGCTCTGACCCTATCTGATTAACAGTCAAGTTACAGTAAAGCTGCCTGTGACTGCGAAGGTTCTGCTCCTATTTCAGTCCAGAAGCTGATAACATTTAAAATACTGGCCAAGACGATGAGTGTTGTCAAGAAACAAAGGTAAAATGAAGTAAGCAAAGTTTTGAGTAACAACAACAAAAAAGGTTCTTCATTCATCTCAATGTTTTATTTATGCTGTTATTTATGCTGCTTATGCTTTCGAGAAGATCATCCCATAGCTAGTTACAGCGTATATGCGTTCAGAACAGTTCTGCTTTGCAGCAGAACATGAGTTCATTTGTCACAGAACTGAACACTTGTTCTGCTCCTAGACAAATCTCAAGCACAGATTCAGGTAAGCTTTCAAAGTGGGAAGCACTCAGACAAAACACGACCAAGGATTTTTCAGTTTACAGACTGTTGCAGAAACAAAAAGAAATCGCGTCTCAGGGTTGGCACAATAAAACTAAAACATACTGCTGTAGAAGAAACTACTCATGCCAACAGGAAACACTGATGCTAGAAGAAACTAATCACACCATGAAATCTGCTAAGTTGCAACACTACAATTATAAAACAAATGTGGCCAGAGATGAGTTTTATCACAAACACACTTTAATTTCTTATTCCCTAAAAAAGAGGGAGTGGCAGTAAACAAGGGGAGGTGGGATTTAAGCTGAAAATGGAGCATTCTTGCATCCTTTATTTCACATATATAATTTTTAATGCTACATACTGTAAAAGATGAAAATGTATGTGAAATGGATTTTTTTCCCCCTATTTCTGCTCCATAAGGACATGCAGGAGGGTTACCTACTGCTTTCCAAAGAGGAATTGAATATCAGAGTTCCTTTTGAAAGGCACTAAAGATTTTTTGCTGAAGCAAACCATGCTTATATATCCTCTATTGCTGAGCTGTCCTTGCATGGAGCTCAGTCTAAAGATGAAAGAATTCCTAATACACGAAAGAAGTGCATTACTAAAGCTTAGTGCAGTTCCTATTGCATTTCAACTACAACAAAACAAAACATTACCATTGTTCTATAAAAAGTAATGACCACTGTATGGCAAATGTGGAACGGGAGGTAGTAATTGTACTTTCATTTGGTATTTTTATTATTACTACTTCAAACTAGAATCAAACCTACTTTGCTTTCTTTCAGAATCACTAGAAGACAGATGTCAAAAAATGGCATGTGAATGCGATCGTGAAGCTGCCAAATGTTTTTCTAAAGCTCCCTACCATACAAAGTACCTCCTGTGGCCAGATATTATGTGTGGTGAGGTTCAACCTTTGTGTAGATATTGAATACACAACACCAGCCCCCTATGAAAACTCTGTACTGATTTAAAATCTGAAAAAATGGCTTTTGTCACAGTAGTGACAGGAAATGATTTTTCTCTTTCTTGTCTTTCCCTCCTGCACTCCTCTGCCTTAGAATGGCCAAAGTAAACACTTCTCTTCTTATTTACTTTCTATAAAACATGGACAAAAACCAAGTTCAGTAATTTGGCGTAAGCTTTTCTTTTCTAAGCTCAAATTCTTCTTTAGTATTTATCATTTTAAGGAGTAATTGACTGTGACTTGTTTGAATCACAGAATGGCTTGGGTTGGCTACCTTTCCCATCAGAGCTTGACCTCACACAACAGCAGCTTGCACAGTTCAGGAGCTTGTAAGGATATAAAAATGGCTTCAGCTTGTTTTCATAGTTTTGGGAGACATTTTAAGAAAAGGAGAAGTCAGTAACAAAACTACTGGCAAATACATTTTCCTGTAACCGATAACTTTAACAGCTTAAGAACAAGGAATGATTTATCTTCATCCACCTCAGCTTATTCGTAGCTGGAGCAATACAGAACAAATACAAGAAATACAAGTCAAAGGAAACGTCAAACACTTGGATATAAAATAAATAAAACTTCAGGAAGGACTAAGATTTAAAATGATATCTTTAATCTTTAAAAAATATTTGTAGGCAAATTTAAAGTTCATATTCATGATACAAATGCAAAAAAACAAAAACAAAAAAACTTGCAATACATAATGAAAGGTCAAAAACCTTACATTAGTTAAGTGGCAATCCACTTATACAAAACAGTCCATATTTCCAGTCAATGTTCATTCACAGACCTAGAAACACACCTTTCATTGCAGTAAGGCATAATTACAGTGTCAGGTCACTTATCCAAAATAATCCTTTTAAGAGCTCATTGTGAATTTAAGGATTAGCAACAGATTTTAAGAGAGCATTAAAGAAGCTGCTGATGAAGTCTAACTGATCTGAACAGAACAAAAAACCACGTGAACAGCAATTGCCATATTTTCCAGAGGACAAAGCTTGCTCTTTGCCATTTACATAGGGAATTTTAGAACAACCTTACTGTGCATTTCTCAGTCAGAACTTCACACTAAAGCAGGCTGAAAACACAAAGTCCTTTCAATATCAAGCCTATCCTTTCAGCTTTCCTTCGGCAAACTCAAGTTCTGCACAACACGTTGCTGGTGTGAAACACTAAGTTGAAAATACCACCGCAGCTCTTCAGAAAACACTGATTTTAAGACAGAACAAAGAATTACTACTTGATCAAAAATATGACAAAACTAAGTTTCAAATGGCTAAATCACGAATATATTTGATTTTTATTAACTACAAAAATCATTTTGGGTAATAAAGCCCATCCTCAGGCTTGGAATCAGCTGTTCAACAGTAACTTACCTCCAGGCTTTTTTGTATGTTTAACTTAATGCAATCTGCTTTCACTGCCACATTATAAAAAAACAAACAAACAAACCAAGGTTTCTTTCAAATATGCATTTTTGGAAACTAACCAGCTCAAAAAGTTCATGTCAGTCATTGCACTTGTGTCTCCAGACGCCTTACTTCTTTAACTACAAGATCAATGTTTATAACTGGGTTGAAGTACAAGGCCCAGTAAAACAAACAATTGCAGACAAACTGAGGAATAAAAGGCCAAAAAACTGCAACAAAAAGACCCTGGGTTGAGACTTTCCAAAAATGTTTCCACATTCTGTGAGGAATAGTCCTGTGGAAAAGGAAAGGGAGAGGCTTAGAGGCTTTATTTTTAACCATTCTAAGACAAGCTAGTATGTGTTTTAGCCTCAAATTATTTCACACTTACTCAAGTTACTTTTAAAAAACAGAATTCTTCACTCCACAAAAACTTACTTAAGATACACTAATATTATTTTTTAGTGAGAAAGTATTATGTCAATTTATTCAGACCACAAGGCACAGCAGATGAAAGTGGTAATATTCCAGATTTGCCATAAATGATTTTCACACAGCCACTTCTTTTTTGAAGATGCTCTGCCCCCTGGCTGCTCGCAAGAGCAGCAGCTCCATACATGCCAAAGCAAGAATTTCTCCCACGAAACTTTTAAAAAATTATAACCAAGAGATCAAAGCAATTATGAAGTTATATTAATACACTAAAGCAGTAATATCTGTCCAATTAAATATCGTTTAATAATTATGCTGTGAACATACCATGACAGAACCCTTAAATGTTTAGTTCTCAGCTGACAGATAACACCAGTTATGCTAAAAGGCAGTTCTCAAGAGCAAGACACGTTCTGAACAATTCTGAACAATTAAATAACATCATTGCATTTACTACATCTGATCAGTAAAACCAGCTGTAAGAAATCTTCTCAAGTATTCACAGCAACAAAATATTCAAAAGTGAGTATTATATGTGCAGATTCAGACTTGCATCTTATTATCCTGGGTCCTGGTTAGCGCTATCATTTTCAGTAAGCATCTATAAAATCAGAACAGACTGATTTTCCAGTTCATAATGTACTTCCTACATCCCTCAACAAGCTCAGTAAGACTTACTTCAATTCTCTTCTTGACCAGAGCTTCCAGAAGGAGAATAATTCCAGAACAGAGAGTAGCATGGCATTTACAATGATAAATCTTGATGTCCAGTAGTGCACATCCAGCCAGTCCCAAGCAAATTCAGCTACCAACTGGTATGGCAAAAATATATACTTTACAATGAATTCTCTCCACTGTTTCCAAGTGGGATCTTTAAGGTCCTATAAATTAGGATAAAAAGACTGTTAAATAATTTCCTACTAAATAGACAATACTGGCTTATTTCCACTGTTCCTTTTATTGTTTTTTTATTTTTTAGTACATTCAATGCAGTAATTAATCTTTTTTATGCTTTCAGTAGATAATATTGTAAACCAATAATTTCAATTAATTAGCCAAAACATCACAGCCAGACAGACTTCATCTTGCCATTTCTTCAATGAAGATATTTTCAGTGAAAGGTCTTTCTACACTCACGTGAACTTTATTTTTTTTTTTAAGATAAAAAATAATGATAATAAAAAAATTAAGTTTCACAGACTTAAAACCTTAAACACCTTAAATAAAACCTTAAATCTTAGTACAGGTTATGGTCACAACACTGCTAGTCCTGCATAATTAAGTAAAAGCAACAAGTTACTATTAAGATTTCTTTTTAAGAAGTTGCACTGCAAGGAGATGACATCGTGAATAATTATATCATACTTTTTTTAAGCAACTAAATCAACAAGCTTCAACCATGTAGCATTTGAGCACTTACTAATAGTTTTGTGACCATGTCTTCATACTGGTCTTCTTGAATAGGACAAATGGTGTGGATAAAAGGTAGGAAAGCTTCAGTATAATCAAACAGATATAAGTATAACATACTGAGTCTTGGAGAATTCTTGAGTGCATACAAAAGAAAGAGTGATTTTCCTGGATTTACTGCCTGAAAAGTATCAAATTGCAAACAATGAAAAGATAAAATGAAAGGTGCATGACAGTTCTTAGACTTTTCCAACAGTCATTTTTCAAAGGATCATTTTTTCAAATACAATAGTTTATTAAGCTGGGCAATTTTTACAAAGATCATTCTACTTCCCTTAACAATCCTTTTGACTTTAAGAGAGTTTAAATCACTTAATATAGATGGTAGACTAAGAGAATTTACCTTGTATTCCCAAAGGTTTTGTGGTGGTTTAACACCTAAAGTTTTGACACATTCCAATTCTGTTGTAATTGCTTTTCTATGGTTATTGTTCTCTATACTGTAAGGCTCTTTTGTGAAATCCTCCTCTGTCAGCGTTAGAAGGAGCCTGAAAAGGTAGAAGAATTTTGAAGGCAAACAATGACTCTACACCAAGAAGACATGACTAACAAATCAGTAACTACATACTGAAACAATAAGCTACTGATAGAAGGTATCACCTTTTGGGTCACTTTCCATGTTCTGAATCAACTGCATCTCAGAGGCTGGGTTTTAAATATCCTTCTTTTCAAGTTCTCTCTTGCCTGCTCTCGGCATGCAAATGTATGAGCTTGTTGGCTATTAATGAACACAGTTCTTCAGTACATCACAGATCTAGTCTGGTCTCCTGATATCAAACCTAGAGCTCTTGAGTCGAGTGCAACAATGCATATAGCATATGCATATTTTCACAGGAAAGAAAAGTGGAGGGGGTGGATAATGCATTAATAGAATTTTATTTTCAGGACCATTTCAGTCTGCACTGTCAGTATCTAAATAAGCTCTCAGAAAAACTTCAGTTAGGTTGCTAAGTATCTACTACTGTTTTCAACCACAAATATTAAGACTTCCCCTGTATTTTATCTTGATACATCAACAGAATATTTCCCCACACTATGGAACAAACTCTGATCATTTCAAAATGCACCATGCCTAATGAAAGCTACTCAGCAGTCCACTCAGATGATAGCTCCTGATAATTAGACCACTCACCTTCCATTCACCTTCTCCAGCAAAAATCTTTCTTTATAAAGAGAAGCCCAAGGGCCCAGCTGCTCTAGCCAAAGCGCCACTTCTTCAGCAGTCCACTTAGCAACAGGCTTGTGGACAAGAAGATCATCTTCAAATTCTCTGCTACTCCAGTGATACCCAAGTAGTACTACCTATATGTAAATTAAAAATAAAATAAAGGAGATTCTTTACCTGCAGTGCAAATATATTAAATCATACAAATAAACATGCATTAAGGGGCTTGACATGCAAAATCTTCCATTCTAAGGACCCTACAATATTTAGGTTATAAGAAAATTTAAGCCTTAGCCAATTTGTCTAATTTCCATTTGCTGTATATTGAAACTGTACCTCCTGACAGACACCTCTGAACACTGCCACATTCGCTCAGCTCAGCTGAAGCTTCTTCTACACCGACAATCTTTTTGACATTCATAGACCTCAAGTATATTTCATTGGATACTTAATCAAGTATATGGAAGATCATCCAGATGAAACTTACTGCTACACAAGTTAAAGCTGTCAGAACGCCTGAGAAAAACCCTCTTCCTCGGGGATTAATTCTTCTTGTGTTTGGAGCCGTAGAAATCTGGTCACTCCCATATTTTTGGAAGGTTGCTAAGCTGCGCACTACATCAGTGTTTTGCTGAATATCTTCTTTTCTTTGTTCAATGGCATCAGAAAACAGCCTTTCAATAACATCCCTAATGGGAGAAACACTTGTCACTGACCTATATCATCACTGAGGCTTAGCATTCAGAAAAGGGATTTATTTTAAGATTTATGTTTTCCAGCTAATACCAAGGACTATCATCTCTGAAAGCAAGAAAACATTACTTATTAGCACTTGGTAAAGATAATCAACTACTTCAAAATAGCATTTTAAATATAGGGGAAGTAAAAAAATCTCTCATTTAAAAACAAGTAAATTATTAATGCAAAATTAGAATAGTGTGCTATGAGCACGTCCTGATTATTCAAAAATGCTAAGCAAGAGACAACATAAAAGCATCAATCCTATATCCTACTTATTAAAAATCTATTAGTGAAGGCCACCTCCTTGTGCCACAGGAACTGGATTGCAGGTAACTGCAGACAACAGTTTGACATTTCTCGCTTTCTTCTGCCATAAGGTCACATTTTTCCTATAAATGATTCCTATCATAGAAAGTCCCATCACTATCAAGGATAATTCTAACTTAATACAAATCCCCTAAAAAATCAGAAGGGAAAAAGCAAACAAGCAACCACCATCTTACTTGTGCTTTCCATTTTTTTTTTTTTTTTTCAGAAAAAAAGGATGGGTAGCACAAAAGACTTCAGATAAAATAAAGACTTCAAAAAAATACTAAAATACCTAAGCAGACAGTTAGTTTTGCTTCGTTTAGGAATCCAGACAAACAGCAGAAAAGTATATTAAAATCACCTGAGGAGAATGTTGACTTTGGGGAATCCTTCCCATTTTTCTCTGCATTCTGGACATTCATTCTTCTTGGAGGACGCCCACCACAAAGCCAAGCAATGTCTACAGAAGCTGTGCCCACAGTTCAGGGTGGTGGGATTGACCAGAACGTCGTAACAGCAGTGGCAAAGGAACTCGCTCACCGACATCCGCCGGCCAGCCTCAGGGTCAGCGCGCGCTGTAACTCCTGCCCTGCTGGGTTCCCTGCACAAGGTCTCATCTTCTTCCATCTTCTGTTATACCTTAAGCAAGCTGGTCTTCAAATCGGCACAGCATTGCTTCTGCAAATCAACAGGAGAGGCGTCGGCATGAAAACAAAGTTACTACAGATGTTTAGGATTGCAAGAAGTGTATTTTTTCTATTGTAACATATTTTCTTGCTCTCGTAGTTTTAGAACTTGTTAATTTAAATTTCCCCTAAGTGAAACATCATCTTCCACTTTTTCAACAGTACATTCACCCCAAACCACGATCAGAATCAGGCTCTGGGCGTAAAGCAGCGGGCTCAGCCTCTTTGCCTTTTCTTTTCTGGCGTTACCGAAACCAAAAATGCAGCGAAAGCGAAACCAAAGGCGCCGCCAGCTCTCCGATTCAGACGCCCTTCTTTTGACTACCCAAAAGCGACATCAATAGAAAACAGCAGAAGAACAAAAGACAAAAGCCAGGCCGATGTCCGCACACCGTACGGCCGGCGGCGGCTCGCGGTGCGCTCAGGTTCGGGCACGGGGCGAGCGGAGCCGAACCCGCCCGGAGCAGCGCCCGCAACTCGCTGCCATCTCGGGAAACGCGCAGGTGAGAAAAGAGCGACTTCGGCCGAAAATACCGTCCCGTCCTCTTAGCGCTCTCGCTCCGCTCTCAGGCGATCGCAGTAACGCGGTAAGGCAGGGACCGGCGCACTTACGGCCGCGGCCGCGCAGCACAGGCCGCAGCACGGCGCGCTTAGCGCAACGCCGGCGGGCACGAGAGCGGGCAGCCGGGCGGGGGAGGGGAGGGAGAAGAGCGGGGGATGGAGAGGAGAGGACAGGAGAGGAGGAGAGAGGGAGAGCGGCGCCCCGAGGCGCAGTGCCGCCCGCCGGGCCGCTCCGCAGCGCAGCGCGGGCCGCCGGTCTTCCGAGGGCAGCGAGCGAACCATCGCTTACAAGAGGAGAAACAAAGGCCGCCTTTCCGCGCCCGAAACGTCCTTCCGCTTCCCGAGCAGACAGGCGCCAACGCTCCCGCGGACGCGCGGCCCCGCCGCCCGGGCTGCTCCTCCCCGCTCCGCCGGGACGCGCGCCGGGAGGAGCCCCGGCCCCGCACCGCTCCGCACCTCCCGGCGCCGCTGGGTTCGTCCCGCACGCGGGGCTCGGATCCGGGCTGGGCTCCCGGCGGCCGCCCCGGCTGAGCTGGCGGCTGCCCTGCGCACGCACGGCCGCCCCTTTTCGATCTTTAACCTTGTTTTTCAACGTTTTAAAAGCCGCCCCGCCGGTGCCGCTCCGCATTCTGCGTTTTCCTTAACGCGCTCGCTTCCATCTGAGAGCACCGAGCCGCGTTTCTGACCGCACGCCCACAGCCAGCGGTTACTTAGTGTCCAGCTGAGGGCTGCAGCCCTCATGGCAGAGCTTCGCCAGGCTGTGAGAGGCTGGCTTAACGGCAGCTACCCAGGATACTGGCTCACACAGACTGCTTTCGCTACATTTGAGGTTGTTTATATGTACACATGCACACTCACACGTATTTATGTGTCTGTTCCCTTACTGTTTTCCTTTTCGACTACAGTCCAAAGCAAAGAATTTTTTTTTTTTTTTTTTTTTAAAGTGCTGACAAGGTGGATTTCTTACTGTGCAATACAAAGTGACATTTTCTTAAAGGCTTGGTTTTAGGGTGCAGCTCACATGGCGTGAGGATCAAAACCTGTCCCGGCCCCTGCCACACGCAGAGCACAAGGCTTTGTCCCAGCTAAGTTCCAGCCTTTATTTCACACAAAGGTGGAGTGCCCAGCTCGTACTTCACCGTACCCTACTCGCAGTTCTCGTTCAGTATATGAAGTTAAGGCCCACTGAGCAGACCCTTACATTACCCTAGCACGAGAACATGCTCCTCTTCTAGACCAGAGGAAGTTCACCTACATCAGTCTTGGCACACACAAAGGATTGGACTAAGAGTATTTAGTTCTTGCTCTAGAGCCCAGTTTTTGGCATTTTGTTATTTTTTGTTTGCACTTAGCTTCACTTTGACACTCAGTAAAGTAACAGAAAATACATTGCTCTGATACAAGTGTGCTGCAGACTGATACAGATGATGTGGAAACTCAGACTTTGGGGTTAGTTTACAAAATGTTCATAATATAAAGACAATGTAACCCTGTAATTAGTGGTTTGCCCTGCTCTCTCCCAAGGCTACTCTAATTTGGAAAGCAGCCAATCTCATCTCATGTCAAAAAAATAGGATGTTTAAAGATTCCAGATTACAAGCTACATATTTGTAAGTGTAGTTGCTCCAGTGTGCACATACAAAAGAAATGGGTATTTGGCTCACTAGGTAAATGTCACCTTCTGAATCAGAATTCTTAATAATTCTTAATTTATTCTTAATATCCAATAGCATTGTCTTTTTATTGCAATAAACTATAGGAAGATGGTTAAGAGGAGAATATTCCAGACACGGATCATGACCAATAATCAATAATTTGATTTTTCTCCAAACCAGATCCTCTCAGCAAACAAAACCAAGCACACGTAACTCGGCAGTGGCAACCTGTGCACTGGGAGAAGTTGCTCTTAACAAAGAATGGCTCTTCTCCCCATGGAGACAGCCGTGCCCTCGCAGCACACAGACCTGCTGTCCCGCAGCCTTGGCTTCCTGCTGCTCTGTGCCTTTGACCCAATTCTGCAGCTAGCTCCTGGAAGCACCACTTCTCCTCAGGCCAGGTACCACGAGCTCATGCTGTTTTCTCACCTGACATGGCCTCTGCAGCCACCAACCCCTGGACACACACACGCTCACGGGCGCTCGGCTTCGGCTTCCAGAGCAGCAATGGATGGGAGCCAAGCACTGCCACGAGCTGATCACTCACACCTCAAAGTTTCAGTTTGCCCATTCACCACTGGTTCAGTACCACTACCTGTAAATCTTTTGTTTCAACTCTTCAATGAGAGGCTGCAGAAACGGTTCTCAAAAATTACGTGAGCAAGATTAACATTTCACATTCAGGCAAGTTACTGCAAAAGAGAAGCACTCTACTATTTCAACTAACCTCCTACGGAGCACCACGCAATCCTGCAGGCGATCTGCTGCAGACACGCAGCACGAGCTGCTTGCAGCGAGGCCAAACCTCACCCCGATCCAGCGCCCAGTCCCGCAGCTCCGGCTCGGAGCAGGCGCCCCCTCCATGTGCTCTCATTCAGCCGGAACGCCGGACAAGGACCATCGCGCCAGCCCTTCCACCGCGGGATCCTCCGCGCTCGTCTCCCGGACGGCCGCTCCCTCCCGCAGCGCGGGCACGGACACCCGGCCGGGCTCTAAGCTCCATTCGCCGTTATCCGGCAGCGCCCCTCTGCCGGCACGGGCCGAGGAGCGCTCCCTGTCCCGCGGCGCTCTCCTGCGGCCCGCTCACCCGCCGCCTCCTCGCACCCCGCCAGCCGATGTCCGCCGCTTCTTTCCCGGAGGCGCCGGCGCCACCGCTCCCTTCGCGCAGGCCGCCCGGTGCCGCTCCCTCCGCTCCGCGCGCCGCACAGGGCCACCGAACCTCCGCCGCCGTTACGCAGCGGTTTCCGGCCCTAACCGCCCGCCGCCGCGCGGCCGTCACCGCTCGCACGGAAGCGGCCGGGCCGGGCCGCGTTCTCCCGCCCGCGGCCCGGGAACGGCTCCGCCCGCGGCAAGATGGCGGTCGCCCCACCCGCCCCTCAGGGCCTCACGTGGGCGCGCAGGAGGGGCGGGGCGGGGCCGGTTCCGGAAGCGCTCGGCGGCGGCGGTTGCGCGCCGGGCTCTGGGCGGGCTGGTGCGGGCGAGGGATGGAGGTGATCAGAAGCAGTGAGTGACCGGCTGCGGGCTCCGAGCCGTGCGTGCTGTTCCCCGGTGACCCCGCTCCCTCGCCCCGGGCTGACGGCGGGCTCCGGCCTTCGCCTCTCCGCAGGGATGCCGGGCGGCCGCGCTGCTCCCGTGCCCTGCGGGCCGGCCCGAGCGGCGGGCTGAGCGCGGGCTGAGCGCGGGCTGAGCGCGGGCTGAGCGCGGCGGGCGGCCCCGGCCGGTCGCCTCAGGTGTGCTTTTACCTCTCGCCGTAGATTTTAAGGATAACCTAAGCAAAGTGTACGAGGCTGTCGAAGAAGCGGACTTCCTGGCCATTGATGGGGAGTTCTCAGGTACGGCCGCGCGCTCCGTGAGCTGAGGGCCGTGTCGTGTGGTAACGGAACGCGGCCGGGCGTTGGCTTCGAAGAGCGGCAGAGGCTGCTGGAAAACCAAAACACCGCGCCTTGCGTGCCGCGGCGGGGTTCGGTCGAGGACGCGTGTCTGCGTGCCCTGGAGCCGGAGAACGGCCTGGTTGTGGCCGCGGTTCTGCTCCCGCCCGCGGTGATTTCTGAGCGGGTCGCTCGGCTGAGTCTCGGCTGCGGCTGTCGGAGACAAACGCTGCCTGCGTTGCGCACACAGCGGGTTGGGGTGCATAAGGCAGGTCCTGCTTGTGTTTGCACAGGGAGAGGCAGCGAAATGAATTGTGATATTTGTGAGGCCCGGGGGTCTGTGCGTCAGACAGCCCGCAGTGAATGCTTTGGCTGTGGGATGTCGGCTTCAGTCAGCACAAAGCGAGTGTGACCGGGGCTGCTTTTGTTGGATGCGCTGCTTCGGGGAGCACGGCTGCTGTCTGGTGTTGCATCGGATGCTTAAGTCATTCTCCAAATCTCTATGCCGTACTCAGTTTTTCGTTTGACTTTGAACCACTGCTGTGCTGTAATGTCAGCACTGTGTTTGTGTCACACAGGGTGAGAACCGTGCTTTTAAAGCAAGGCTTTAGTGTTAGAACAGCACATTCTAGTTGGACATATTTTATGTTCAAGGCTCATGCTTTTACACAATAGAAAGCCTCTCTCAACTGACTTCTTACCAGTTGTTGCATTTCTTGCTGTGGCTAATTTTCAAAATCTTACCCTAAGCCCTGCTTTTTCAGGGATCAGCGACGGGCCTTCTGTTAGTGCATTAACCAATGGCTTTGACACACCAGAAGAACGGTATCAGAAACTTAAAAAGGTAAAGTGTTCACCATGACAAAAATGAAAGTATTGAAAAAAGTTAGAACTCCAGTTCAGCAAGGAGGCGGTGCAGCACAATATGATAATTGGAGGTCTGTAAAATTGAGTTACCTGTGTGAGCTGACAAAGAGTTGCTTGTTTTATTCTCTGCTAGCACAAGTATTAGGGAAAGACATATAAACCCTGGTGAAGTTGTGGGAAGAGCAAACCAAGGAGTGTGATTTTTCATGTAAGTTGTAGTAGATCTGTAGAACTTGTCGGAGAATGTTGAGGGTGTTAAAAATTTTTCGTTCAAACTGGAACTTGGTGAGAGAAAGTCAGTGACAGAGAAGCTACATCAGAATAGGGTCCTTCCTGAACAGCCTCTCCTCCACACACACACACACACACACACACACACACACACACACACACACACACACAAGAAACCAACCAAACAAAAGTCCAATGACCATGGGAGACAGTGTGTATGAGGTTAAAGCTGTGATGGTTTGGGTTGTCATGCTCCCATCCACAGGGCTCAGAAAAGTGCTAAGCATGGCAGCAGTACTGTTTTCTGTTGGCATCCATGGAGTTTACACTATTTACTTTTGTTCTGTTAAGAGACATCCAAGGACTAAACACTGTTCACTGTTATTCTGTGAAGAGGCATTATGATATGAGGGACATAGTGGTTAGTGTTCTATTGTTCCTCTCCACTAGAAGTGGCCATTGAGAAACTGTGTTTTCCTTGTGTTTGAAAGAGCTGTTCAGCCCTCAGGAAGAGCGAATCAGTGCAACTAGAAGGCTTCTTTATTTTCTTATATGCTTGCAGCAGTGTTAAAAACCTTTCCAGTATTAATTCAGTGATTGTGAAACAGTCGAGGGCATCAGGATAAAGTGCCTAGCAGCTATGCTAGTTCTTGTATTGCTGTTAGCCATGTGAATTAGAAGACTATTTAGTGTCAGTGTATGTATTTGGAAGCTATATGTCCCTCACAAAGTGTTCCCACATTACATGGAATGTAAGTGAACGCTGAGAAGAACTGCTAGCTGCTTTAGATGCAGTGTATCCTCCTGATGTGAGCAACAGCTGGGGAGATATGGGAGTTCCTTTAGTTCTTGTGTATTTAGGGAATGAAAATGTGTATTACAAATCATTGTTGAATAAAAGTAAGATGATAGGTGGGAATGAAAGCTAGATAAAAAAGATCTAGTCCATTTACTAAAAATTGCTAACAGAATGTGTATTGATTATGAAGATCCAGACTTGGTTAACTCTAAAATGAAGCTGTTTTTAAATGTATACCACTTTTATTCTCATGCAAAGTTTTCCTTACCTTTTCAGCATTCCATGGATTTTTTGCTCTTTCAGTTTGGCCTTTGCACTTTTAAATATGACCACACAGAAGAGAAGTATGTAATTCTCTTATTCCTTATGTTGTTCACTGAGGAATTTATGAATTAATGTCGATAAACTGTATTGATGAACAACTCATCTTTTTCACAGGTATATTATGAAGTCATTTAATTTCTATATTTTTCCAAAACCCTTTAACAGAAGTTCACCGGATGTCAAGTTTGTCTGTCAGGTCAGTAGAAAAACAGATTTGATTTTTTTGCTTGGCTGAGGTATGCCTGCAGAAAATTCCTGAGCAGTGTTTTCAGGAATTGAGAGAGAGAAGTGGTTGGTTCTTAACAGCTTAGAAAACCGATAAGCATAAGTTTCTGGGTTTTGTTTTGTTTTCACAGATAAGAAGTAAAAAACATCAGTTAAGTATAATCCCCAAAAGTGAGCTTTAGGAGAATATTTGTGACTTAGTTTTAAAATCTTGGAGCTTATGTTTCAAATCTGGCAAGATCATTCTAATTTTTTCCTTGTCTGCCTGCTTGTTTCCGTGCTTTTCCCATTTGGTCCTCTATTCCCAATTGCTGTTTCAGTTTCACTGCTTCCCGGGCTATTGCCAGCATTTTTCTGCTCTCAGGTTTGTTCTCCTGTACCATGTTTTTCTCTTTCCCTTCCTCGCTCCATGTCACTTGTTCTTTCATCTTTACTGTATCATTTCTTATTGTGTATGTGGAAAAAAGTCATAAATGTAAGCAGAAATGTTGAGATTAGCAGTTTGAGGTTAATATTTGAGGAAAACCTAGAATGCTTAAATGTTGTTTTTAACTGAATTGCTGAAACTTTCTACCCCAACTTGATACAGCAACAGAGATTTCTCTCTGTACATTTGTTTTTCCTTGTGATAAAGCAATATGTGTATTTAGTGATAATAAAGATAATACAAAGAAGTAGAGTCTCAGATTATTTTAATTCAAGGATATGAAGTTGTCTTCTAGTCAAACTTTTCTGTTCAAGCAAAGCAAGCAAATGTCAAAACATAGTTAAACAAAACCTCCCTGTTCCTTCAGGGAGCTGAGTGAGGATGTTCTTGTGCAGCCAGACTTGCTGCTTGTCCTGAATGTGCGTTTTTGTTTTCTTTTTCCTGGGATTTGAGACTCACTCTCAGAAATTTAGTTATTTCTGTTGTTGTTCTTGTTTTTATTGCATCTGTACCATGTTTTCCATCTAGCTGTGCTTTGCATTCAGACAGATCAAAAAGCACTGGGGAATTAACCTGTCTCCTAGATAGGGATGTTTATTCTGATTTTTAAGCTCTAATAAATGAGCATAAGTGCTCCTTAAGCAGATATATAAACTTAAGCTGTGGATAACTATTCTAGGCTTAAGAGCACTGAACTGTGCTAAAGGAAGTTTTGGGCTGCCTGTGTTAAGACTATACTGTATAGTGTCTGGGGCAGTAAAGAGCCTGGCCATCTGTGCTAAGACTGGAGTATTCTCTTTGTTGGGCTTTATTGTCTTGATTCAGGAAACAAAGCCAATGAAACATTTTCACAACGGTTCAAGTTGAAGCTAACGTATTTTAACTGGCTTTTTTGTTATTGATGCACCAAATAACTTAAGACTGAGCATGTGTCACATTAACTTGGAGAGACATCTAGGCCTAGGGATGTCTTGTGAAAGTTGAAAGTAAGTGACAAAAGTAACATGGTTTAAAGTGGATCTGACTTCTTTAGGCTCACAAACTTGCTTTTGACTCTGAATTTACATAATTTCTGAAAAGCTTAAATTTTTAACAATAATTGGTCTTTGTGAGACACTGATACTCTTGCCAATTGTGAATTTATTTTCTTTTGTTGCAGAGTTCAAGCATAGATTTTTTAGCAAACCAAGGATTTGATTTTAATAAAGTTTTTCGCAATGGTGAGTGGTTGTTTTTCTTTCACTGTTCGCAAAATTTATGACATCTTCATTTTCTGCAGAAAGAAAAAGGCAACAAAGACGATATTCTCTTAAGAATGGAATTCTCTAAGGATAATTCTGAATTACTAAACTCTAAGGATAATTCTAAATGATTTGTATCTGGTTCTAGAGTTATGCTTATAATTGCTCTTCAAAGGTTTGTTCTATGGAATTAAAATTAATGGAATTCATGCTTAGATAAGTACTTGGTAGGTTTTTTGTTGTTTTTTTTTACTGATTAAACATAGATAAGAGTAACAAATTACATGGCAGGATAATAGAACAGTTGTCAGGCCTTTTTAGTAATGTTTTAGCAAAGGTATCTGTGCTTTGGAATAGATGCTGCTGCAGTCTGTTATCAAAGCAGTGCAGGTGTCAAGGAAGAGAAGTGCTCAATATTCTGGTGACTGCCATCTGTATTTCTGCCAGTCTCAGGTTTGTGCTTTATGCAGATGAGGCATACAGCTCTTAAGAATCTAGTGGTACCAGCTCATCTGTTGTGTGGTATAAGAAAAAAAATGCTTTTATACCTGCAAATTAAGAATGAGCTCTAGAACAGGAGATCTGAAAGGGCGGGATGTATCTTCAGCCTTCAGGGGTGTAATGTGGGCAAATACTTGGTTGGTAATTAGTCTTTGCTAAATCATACGTCCCTAACATGCCTCTAATTATGATGAGTTTTTGAATGCCTTTTTCAGGAATTCCGTATTTAAATCAGGAAGAGGAAAGACAGTTAAGAGAACAGTATGATGAAAAGCGTTCTCAGGCCAATGGTGCAGGATCTCTCTCCTATATTTCTCCTAATGCCACAAAATGTCCTGTTGCAATTCCTGAAGATCAGAAAAAATTCATTGATAGAATAGTGTAAGTAAAAATTGCTAATAATAAACTGGAGTTCTATTACACAAATGGTAACATCACAATAAATTATATCTTAAAAAAAAAAAAAAAGATTCCCCTCCTACTATTTATGATGAAATATTCTGTGAAAGAAAGAAGTTTGAAAAAATTCATTATGAGTTTTTTGTTTGGTAAAAAATGGCTTTCCTTGTCCATCAGCACAAGGAGGGATTAGATTTCTGTGTTACTGTTATTCTTAAATCTGATAGAAATCTTCTTTCCAAAGCAGAGCAGAATTACAGGAAGGAACAGTCCCCCAAGACTTTTATTCAGTCTTCATCTGGCTAGCATTACTTAATGGTTTTAAGTAGAAAAAATGACGTATCCCACAGCTACTGGGACAGTTCAGTGCTTCTTTATTGCATCTTTCTTCAGATGTTTTTGAAACAAATATGTAAACAATAGTGCCGCGTTTGTACATTGAAGATATTTTTATTAGTTCACTAGCTGTGTTGTTGTTTGGTTTTAAATGGTGTTTTCTTCATGGAAAATTTTGGTAAAAACTGAAAGCTATAGGACCAAATAATCTATTTAATCTCTTTCTCCCAGGGAACAAATAGAAGAATTTTTAAAGAAAGAGGAAAATGAAAGTTTGGAACTGGAGCCATGTACAGGGTCAGTTTTCTGAAATTACTTGTCTTCTGAAAATAATTTTTTTTTTTTTTTTTACTCTATTAGGAGAGTGAGAAGGAAGAAGAAAGATTTTGACTTGCAGTTATTTCTTTACTTGTTTCTTATCTCTGAATGTTGAGAAAGTTTGGTAATCTTATGAATGTCATGCTCTAATTTGAGCTATAACAACAGCATACATATTTATGTATACTTGTTTAAATATAGGCATGATCTGCCTTATCTGCACATAGAAGTGTCTTGCATATGTAAGCCTACTTTTGCTGTTAACAAAGTGCATAATCTTAATTATCATGTTGTTTGGTGTTGACACTGCATGTTAAAATTGGCTTTAGGCAATCTCCTTTTCAAGGTCTATTCAGCTTTGGAATCCAGATGTTTGGAGAGTATGGTTGCTATTTTAAAAAAAGCCATATGAAGTTAGAATTAGGAGGTCATTATGAAGTGAGTAAAGTTATGTTGCCATGTTGATATTCAGTAATGGTGAGTATGGAATGTTTGCTAATAAGAGGATTTGGGGATGGATGTACAAAATGTTGTAAGTGCTTCCACAGCTTAGCAACTAGCCTATACGTTTGGGTATCAGTAACTTATGGTCTTATCTTAAAAGTCTTTTTACAGATGAGAGAAGCAGCCTTTATTTGAGCATTATTGGTTTGGAATGCATAAGAGAAGTGTTAATAACACAATTCTCTTGGTTTTAGGTTTCAGAGGAAACTAATTTACCAGACCTTGAGCTGGAAGTAAGTTACTGATAATACTGCCTTTACTTTGTGATTTTAGTGTTTCTGATTTAAAAAGTAAAATAAAATCTGGGTGAGAGCTAATCAATCCAGGAATGAATAATTCTTTTAAGAGAAGATTTCTCTGATATTCTAAATGTTGTATGTTCTGTGGCTCTGCATATGACAGTACTTTGGCAATTAAGTGTGGTTGTGATGCAGTGATACAAGTAAGTAGCAGAGGTAGCAAAATTGGCTTTAATATTTCCAACTTAGGGTGGTTTATAAATGAATTACATGTTAAAGGCCTGCAGCCACCAAAGCACTTGTGGCTTCAAGTATGCAAGAACTTTCTTGCCAATGTTTTGTCTTTTGATTTTCTTGAAAGTAACTTCTAGACTGTGATGAAGTGTCTTGGAAGTTTACTCAATATTGCTTAACTAAGAAGTTATAGGTTCTGCAAAGGTAGGATGGGAAATTGCATAAGAAAATGTTTTAATCTTAGTAGCTGTTAAAATGTTCTAGGTGCATAAGAAGGCCAATTTGACTGGCCAATATTTTAACAGTTAACTTTTTATAGTTCTTTTGCAGGTAAGATTAAGATTTATAGTAATAATGAAACATGAAGTTACATAATTGCTACTGTGGATTCAATATGCTAAATGCCAAATAAATAACTACTTATATTTACTTTTCATTTTTGTAGGTATCCAAAAGGTATCCATGTTGAAACCCTAGAGTCAGATAAGGTAAGCAGGCGTGCTACTGCCTGTGACGTTTGTCCTGTTGAAAGGAAACTGTTCTAGTTCCAACCAACTGTCCTGATTTCTAGATCTAATCTGAGCTTTTCTGTGCCAGATCTGGAACATATAAACTGAAATATGATTAACTCGTTTCTGATCTTTAAATCTGACCAACATTTGAATGATAAACATATATATGTGTGGCTTAATATTATTTAACAGTTAAAAATATAAATACCAAAGTATGTTTTAAAATGTAGTGGATCTGACATTTAATGTTGATGAAAAGTAAATCCATTGGTGAAAAGTAAATCTTGATCTTAGGAGTAACAACAGTCATCACATACTGTATCCTCCCTTCTAAGCTCAGATCTCCACTCCAAAAAATATTTGAAATCCATAGGCTATGATGAAATACTGGTAACCTTTCTTAAAAGTACAAAGTGTATTTAGTAAAAGTTAGGGTTAGTGGATATATATAATACAGCTTTCTAAAGCTGATTTCTGTGTATGGGTGATAAAGTGGTGCTTATAATAGAAACAGTCATATTGCAAAGTAACTGCTGCTAGGTATGACTTAATTTTCTTAACAATTCAATTTGCAAAACCTTGAATGGTCTTCTATGAACTTCTCAGGGTCATTCCTCAAATGGTACTTTTTTTGACTTTAGAAGGAGAGATATATTGTTATTAGTAAGGTAGATGAAGAAGAACGAAAAAGAAGAGAACAGCAGAAACAAGCAAAGGAACAGGTAAATATTTGCAGTAAGTTGCATTTCTTTAGTTTGATTTCAAGAGGGTGGGGAAGAATCCAGCTTTCAATCAGCTGTGCAGAATTGCATGTGATAGGGTTTGGGAGTATTTCCCTCTTGCTTAGCTGTTGCTGTTGCTTGAAACTGATTCTCCAAATTCTACTCAATTAACTTTGACTTTGCAATATAGGAAAAAATTTCAAAATATTCCACAAAATTCTAAAATTACTTCATCTTTAAACAATATTTAGCCAGTGTTCTGGAGCAGTGAATTCCTCCTTGTATGAATATGCTGTATCAGAGAAGCAAGGTCTAGTCAGAAGAAACACAGGTCAATTGAATTTAATAGTGCTGTAGAACTATAGTTCTTGCAAAAAGTCTTGCAGAATTTCTCAAGCAATTTGAGTAGTACTCTGTTACAAAACTCACTTGCTTTTAGTTGTCTGAGTTAATGTCCTGTACAATTAAAGTAATCTGATTCTTCTTGATTGAATGATGCTGCACATAACTACTATAGTAACAACTTGACTGCAAAGTTATTTGTGGTATTCAGGCACTCAGCATTTATGGGACTTGATGCTTGTGCTTACTGAGTGTGAGGAAAGTTTCATGATGTACCAAGACTTGGACTGTGGGAGGTGTTGATCCGCTTGCTTATTAACTTCTTGTTATTTCGTTTCACTTGTCATTTTGCCTTTCCTTTTAATTATTTGTTATCTTCTATTAATTGTTTTTGTTCCTGGGAGAGGGGAGTGAGCAAAAGGGCAGTGTGAGTGTTTGGCTGCTGGCTGGGGTCAGCCCACAGTGGTAGCTCGCAACTTGTCCAGCATTACAGTGAGCCAGAGATACATTAAAACTGGAGTAATCTCAATGGCATCTGGCTTTGGCCTTGTGTGTCCCCAGACTTCAACATTTATTTTGTGGCCTCTTATTGCTTATGTCTGAAAAATGGTATGAGCCAAACTGGGATTAAAATTTGCAGTGTACGCTGGTTTGTAGAGGTTGTGGAGTCTCCTTCTCTGGAGATATTCGAGAGCCGCCTGGACGCCTACTTGTGTGACCTGGTGTAGGGAACCTGCTTTGGCAGGGAGGTTGGACTCGATGATCTCTGGAGGTCCCTTCCAACCCCTGCAATTCTGTGATTCTGTGTGATTCTGTTTGCAGGCACCATTTTGATGATAGCTGTGTTTGTATTTCACTAATGCCAGAATCTTTGCTTTGCTTCAGGAAGAACTGAATGATGCAGTAGGATTTTCCAGAGTTGTTCATGCCATTGCAAATTCTGTGAGTTGACATTATTTTTAATGTCCTTTTAGCTGTAAGAAAAAAAATAGTTCCAACAAATTTCTTACCTTTTTTGCAAGATAAGATTAAATATACATTGAAGTTGCTTCCCTTTTTAGTGTTTTCTTTTGTCTAGTTGATGTTGTCATTGTTTTCAGTGGTAAGCTAAAGTCATGGACCTAATTATCTGTGAGAGTCAACAGTAGAAATTTCTTAGGGATTTAACAGGATTCTCTTTAGAAACTAAGCTCTGAGCTTTTTTTTTTTTACCTCTGTTCCAAAAAGATTGTTTAACTTTCTTGCAGTCAAAGTCTTAATCACAAAAGGTCACCTGGGTCTCTTCTTTCTACATAGTTAAAGGCTATAGTTTGAGCCCTCCAGCTTGTTTATTTTCATGTAGTTGAGGCAACGTGCAGTTTAAAAAACAAATGTGTATGCATATTGTTTTCTCTACCAAGTAGAAGATGTGGGGTAGTGAATAAGGTTGTCATGTCAAATAAAGCAAAACTAACATTTAAAAAATTTCTTGCACTTTTTCAAGAAGAAACTTCCTTGTACAACATCTGGCACGAAAGGTTCTGTGCTCAAGAAGCCATGTCACACCCTTAACTATTGTATATTAATTACAGCCATAGGAAGTATTTTGTCATTTGTTGTAAAAGCTGTAAATTAAAAGGTAAGCAACTGACAAGTCACTTTAATCTTAGATAGGTTTATATTTGGATACCAAGTTGTGAGAAGCTCTCATAGTATTATCTTCTGATCATTTCAAGATGCTGCTGGAGGCTATATTAAGTGGTTGAGAACAGAAAAATGAGAGGAGGGGCTGCCCTGAGAGAATGGAAGGGTCTGTGGGCAGGTAGAGAGCAGCAAGTAGGCAGGTTGGGCTTGTGCTTGTTCTCAGCTGCTCTCTGCTGTCATCTGGGACAGTGCTTTTCACATGCTGCCATTGATTTATTTGTGCCTGGAAGCGTAACTAACTTCTAACATACTTTTCACAGGGCAAACTTGTTATTGGGCACAACATGCTGCTAGATGTTATGCATACTATACATCAGTTCTATTGTCCTCTACCTGATGTAAGTAATCCTCTCAGTGTGCAGATGAGATTAAAGTCATATATTAAGGCATTTATGTCATCAACTCCAATCTTTCTTTTGAGTGAAAGCATATGATGGTTTTACTAAGAACTGTAAAGAAGTATTCTAAAATAAACACTTGTGGCTTCTTGGCTGCTGCCTTATTTTCTTAAATCCTCATATAGAAAGCTTAATTGAATTCTTCTCCTACACTTTCAAAAATTCAAATTAAATGTTGGATTTGAATTGTGCTTTCTGGTCACATCTAACTCCTTCAGGATCTGCTTCGATAATGGCAGACAAATTTATGTATTTGTTAAGAAACTGGCTTGGAACAATTGGTTGCTGTGATTATATATTATGTTTTTTTCCCTCTACTTACAAAATTGTAAAATGTCTTTTCATATAATATAGTAAAATTAATAGAATTATAAGAAATCTGATCGCAGAAATTTATGATGAAGCTCATTAGGTTAAAGAGGTGCAATGTCTGAGTAATTGGAGAGAGCATGCTTTCATGACCACAGGGCAAGTCTAACAATTAAGATAGACTAAGTAATGTACTGGCACTAAAGACACTGTGTAAGAAAGCAAAAGATCCCTTCTGGGGGATGGGATGGACTGTGTGGCGGTTATCTCACTTGCAGTCCTTAAGGGCTAGTGGATGTTATGGGAAAGACTTGAGTGGCAGATGAGAGGAAGCACTCTGTGACCTCTCTGGACAGTGTTGGAACACAAGCAGTTATGAGTTGTGCTTGCACTGAAACTTGGATTATATAAACTGGTAGGAAGTCATCTTTCCATCTGGAGTGACTGATTATATTCCAGTGACACATTACATGCTGGGAATACATCTTCAGGAGTTTAAGTAAAACTGCTGGAATTACAGGTTGTCTAGGATATATGATAGGATAGGGTGTAGGAGTTGAAGAACATTTCTTTCTACAAATCACAGACAAAACCGAAGTAATTAGTCAGCCTGTAGTTCTGTGTAATTGCAGGTGATATTTATGGTAATGCTGAAAAAAACATCTCTTGTGGGGTGAGTTAGTCACTGTATCTCAGTGAAGTCCAGCAGAAGGCCATGAAGGTGCTGAAGGGCCTGGAGCATCTCTCCTATGGGGAGAGGCTGAGAAACCCGGGTCTGTTCAGCCTGGGGAAAGGAAGACTGAGAGGGGATCTGATCAGTGTTTATCAGTCTCCAGAGGGAGGTGGAAGGCAAATGGATGAGGCCAGGCTCTTCTCGGTGGTGCGCAGCAATGGGACAAGGAGCAATGGCCTACAGTTTGGACTCAGGAAGTTCCATACTAACATGCAGAAGAACTTCCTTATGGTGAGGGTGACGGAGCGCTGGCACAGGCTGCCCAGAGAGGTGGGGCATCTCCTTCTGTGGGGATATTCCAGACCCATCTGGACGCTGAGCTGTGCGACCTATTGCAGGGACCTGCTTGAGCAGGGGGTTGGACTCAGTGATCTCTTCAGGTCCCTTCCAAGCCCTGTGATTCTGTGATCCTGTAATTTTAGAAGCTGACTGGATAATTGTTGCTATTGTACCCTACCATTCTGAGACCGATTAACCATTAACTTATTTGGCTTTTATTTTCTGGTTTAATACTAATTTAGGACCTAAGTGAATTCAAAGAAGTAACATCATGTGTCTTTCCACGGTAAGATTTTAATTCAAAATTGCAACTTCTTTAGTACTGTTTTTATCAAACTGATGCTATTTTTTTGTAGTGCTGTGACAAGAAGTAAAATTGTGAACAAGTCAGATAAATAGTTTTAAAAATATTATGTGACATCTCTTGTTCACAAGAGCTGTGCTATTCTTCTTGACAAAAGATGATACTTTTGCCCTCTGCTTTTTGTCACAATTATTGGTATTTTGAGTTTGCACTACATTTGGAACAAGATCTGTTTGCTACCGATGTTGTCTTTTGCTACTGTTTAGTCAGTGGACAAAGCCAATACATTTTGACCACTCCAAGATCTGAGAATAATGTTTCAGTAGGGTGAAACTGCTGCTTCCCAGCTAATTCACCAAAACATTTTTAAGGATTTGGTGAAATGGACATTCTTCTGTCATCCTTCTGTTTTAACTTACTTAACTCTTACTTTGTTTCTAGGCTATTGGATACGAAACTGATGGCAAGTACACAACCTTTTAAGGTAAATTGATGTAATGTTTTGGAATGGTTTGAAGATACAAGAATGTGTCAAAACATTTTTTTTAGGTAAATGTCTAACAACATGTTCTGTCATGGTCTTTTAAAAAAAAAAAAAAAAAAAGAAAGATTTTTCTTGTCCCCTTATCAAAACTCCTGAAATTCTTAGGATACAAACTAACATTTGTTCAAGTGATGTTCATTTGCTGCAGTTTCAACAGAGCTTTGAATTACAAAGTGTACAGTATGCAGACTTCAGTAGTCACCTTTAATACATTCAACCATTATGACTGATATTTCAGATATTTTCCCTTGCTCTGTGTGCTGCCTTTCCCACATCCCATATGTGGAAACAGATTCAAATAGAATATAATTTTGACATAATATGTCTTCAAGAATTCTGGAGAGTATTAATAAATTCTTGTGACTCATAGATGCTATGTTGTAGGGAAGGCAAATTAGCTCTTTAAAACTTGTGTTGATGGACTTCTCTGATGTAATAGTTTTGAAATAAGCTCCTGTGCAAGTCCTTACAGGACACGAGGTGGCAGCAGTAAGGATTCATTTTATTCTGTCTGATTTCAGTTTCTGGAGGAAACGTGCTTGACCATGGCAGTTAACGCTAACCTTTCTTGCAGGACATCATTAATAATACATCCCTTGCAGAACTGGAAAAGCGTTTAAAAGAGGTTCCATTCAGCCCTCCTAAAGTTGGTAAGGATATATCAAAATGGTCTTATTCCTTTGTTCTTGGCCTGAGATGTAGATTTCCATACTAATATTTAGTATTTTGCTGAAAGGGCCTTTAAAATTGGGCAATATTAGATACTGCAGTTGTGTTTTGTCGGTAGGAATCCTTGCACTTTATTTCAGATAAGAAAAGAATGGAGGTATTTCAGCGAACAGCGGTTTTGTCATTTTCTAATGATGGCATTTGTTCTTTAGCTTGATTTTTGGAGAGTAATTTAAACTGTTTAAAACTGTCTTATTTGCTTATAATTGTCTGTCAGATCAAAGCCAGTATACTCTATGGGCACTTGAGCAAACAGAACTAAGAAATTCTGCAAGCAGTGATTAGTTATATGTGTTGTACAAATCAGTTGAGTTCCTCTAGAGCTTTCCTTGCTTTGAGGTGAAAGAACAGATATTTAATAAAGCTTGTCTCAAGATTGAGTGGGTGGCTCAGAAAGTAAGACTATGATGGAAGGGAAATGTATCTATTTAAAAGTAACTTAAGCACTGAGTGACTGTTCTTTTAGCTGCAAGACAATGACGAGAAAGAGTGATGTATGGTGAAATCCTGTTGTTTCTGCATTAATATTCTGTCAGAGCTAAGTAGGTATGTGAAAAAAGAGATTAATATTTTCCTAATAGGGTTGGGTTTCTATCCCAGGAACCTGTTCTTCTTTAAAAAGATGTACCTGGTTAAAAACTTCTGAAAATCATAAAAGCTTACTAGAAATGATGCTCTGTGACAAAATTAAGTGTGTGTGTGTGTGTGTGTGTGTCAACATACAGGTAACTAGAGTGATGTATGCTAACAAACTATGTTTTCTCTTCAGAAAGTGCAGAAGGGTTTCCAAGTTATGACACAGCTTCTGAACAACTTCATGAAGCAGGATATGATGCTTACATTACTGGACTGTGCTTCATCTCCATGGCTAACTTTCTAGGTATCTATGTAGTCTTTTTCAGACCTTTTCCTCAGTGCTATCTGTAGCTTCTTATTATGTACTGAATTTCTTCTTTCTTTGTTAGGTTCGTTTCTTAGTCCTCCAAAAAATCATGTGTCTGCTAGATCAAAACTCATCGAACCTTTTTTTAACAAGTAAGTAGTTGCCATACTTCAAAGAATGCTAACCCAAACCCTTCTAAAATCTTGAAATATAACACTAGCTCCAAAATATATAACTAGCCTCAGAATCAATAGCTAGCAGCATTCTTCTTAGCACTTCAATTTCTGCTTGACTTTCTTCTTCACGCTAGTAATGCTGCAATGAAGCCAAAGTTTGTACAGCAAATACCTTTTATTTGGAAGAGAGTAATTTACTTTCTGCTAGCCTGTAAAAGGACACTTCGGAGTGTTCTTTTAACCTAGACCGTTAGAGTTAAACCATCAAAGCCTGGACTTTTTTAATGGCTTTGTCAGTGCCACTGTTGGGAATATGGCTGTAATTTTATAATTATTTGTAGAGCGAGATTTAGGAGTAGTACAGTTGAAGAAAAACTGGTCAGGTGTTCTTCATGGTATGGTACACTAAGACTGCTGATAAAATTAAAATTGAATATGCTTAAATAATCTGGAAAAATTAAAATCTAAATAACAAAAAACTGTTGTATTAACTTGTTGGGTAATGGATCGTTTTAAGGAATAAGAACCATGTATGATTAGTAGGCTTTATGGGATGAAGATATGATTGGTATTTTTCATTTTACTTCAGGCTATTTCTTATGAGAGTAATGGACATACCATATCTGAATTTGCAAGGACCAGACTGTAAGTAGCTTTACTTATTGTGCACTTACTACAATTCTGACAAATTTCCTGGAGGAGGAGGTGTAAAGATTAATTATCATGCATTTACATACAGGACTCTAGCTGTGTTTGGGTTATTAGCCGTTTATCAAAGGATAAAAACTTCACCCTTTTATTTGAAATTATATAGGGGATTGACTAGGACAGGTTAGACTCTTTAAACTGAATGTAAGAGGGTTGAAGATACTAGCTATATATTTGTGTGTGAAGTCTAAGAATGGTGACCTGTTAAAGGTGGTGTCATAACTCACATGCTTTCCTCTCCCCCACACCTTGGCAGTAAGTACAGGATGCAAAGTACTGAAGAGCAAACGATCCTAAAAATCTCTTGGCTTGCTTTCTTCACAATTGCCATGTAGTAGCATGTTTTCCTTAACTTCAGCCAAAATATCAGATTTTTTTTTTTGCCACATTAGGAAATGATTTGAGAAATTAAAAAAACGTTATCTGAAATATTACTTAAACTTTTAAAGTTTTTCCAGTTTACATACAGACATGGGGGCTATAATAACTTGCTAATATAAAAGCATGTTTTACTAGTACATCCTTATTTTTCTGGAATATTACATCATGAAGGAGAAAGCTTTGGATGAGTGTTACCACTGATGCCTTGACTTAAGAAAGCATGAAGTCCAGCAGGTCAGCCTAGTTTTTGACCTAGATGAAGGTTTAACTTTGTAGTGTCTTATATATGACTTATGTGATGCATCTTGGAGGTACGAGGATGTCTTCAGTGGTTCTTCCAGATGAGTACTGTTTCTCTGTGAAGACATTTTCCACACACGTGTTGGAAAGCTCAGACTGAAAGATGACCCTTTTGTTATGTGCTAGTTTAATATAACAGAATGTAGTTCTAGAAAGATGGAGAGGAAAATCTATACTGTAGTGGCATGTATGTAATTTTCAAATGCAGGAGGTAATCAGATCACTGAGCAGTGGCTCTACAGATCTAGTGGAATGGTTATTTAATTATATTTCCCCAGTTTGATACTGAATGGAAGGATAGTGTAGGTAAATACTTTGGATCATTGAGAGAAGGCCAAAGCTACTAATCTGTGAAGATGCTCCTTCTGCTTGCTAGCCAAATTACAGGATCATTTTGATGCTCTGCCAAGAAGAGTTGCCAAAAAAGACCCTCTGAAAATCTGTCTTTTATCTGAAAGTGCCTGTTGCAGAGCAGACTGATACAGGCATTTCAGCAGAATCTGAACCAAGGATACCTTCTAAGCTTCAAAAGAAAGTACACATAGTGTGGCTCTTTGAGTAGAAATAGAAGCTCATAAAGCAACCAGAGGTTCAAACACTGCTGTTGGCTGGCAGAGTTGTCTGGATGGTTTTTTTGCTTGCAGGTGGCCTTTTTGCAAAGAAGTAAAGCCATGCAAAGCATGCAAAGAATAAAGCTACACTATAGAGGTAGTTATGCTTACAGTCTGTGCTTTAAAAAAAAAAAAAAAAAGTGCAGCTAACTAGCTGACTGTCCAGAGTGTTGCAGTGTTTGTCACTTTGTTTATTCTGTTCAATTATAGCTGGTTTGTGCCATTTTTCTAGAAATGATGGACTTTGGTTGCACATACAGTGCCAAATATGTGAAAGTGACTTTCATGGTCTTTAGCATTGATTTCTTATGTGCAGATGATCTTTACTGGATGAGGTAAAGATATCCAGTTATCTTTCAGATAAAACTTCTTTGGTGCCTTTTTTTTGTATGTTTTTTTTATATGGCCTTAATATGCTATTTTTTTCTGGTGAAGACTTAATTAATAGGAAGTCTGTCAGTGTGTGTTCTGTCTTGCACCTAGAATGAAAACTGTTTTGAACGTTGTTTCAGGGCTAAGGTTTTTTTTACTGACAGAAGAATTGTATCATTAAATTATTGCTAAGAACATACTGAAACTGGAGCCAGAATATGAAGAGCCTGTTGCTTTTTTTGCTTTATTTTTCTATACTTAACTTAGCCCCAAATAGATTAATTTTGTGGGCAGTTCCTGGTGCGTGTAATGCTGCTTCAGTTTCTTATACAAAATCATACTAGATCATCTATGTATCTACTTCATGCATAAGTGCAGACAAGTTTTCCCTGATGCCTGGTGTTGTTCTGTAGGTCTTGGCCTGTTTTCTTTGTAATAATAAATAGTAAAAGTTATATGACTGTGTAAGGTAACTATTTTTTTTTTAAAGGTTGTGCTAAAGATACCAGTGGTAACTCTTATTCTAATAAATAACTTCTTATTTTGCAGTGCAGCCAAAAAGAGATCATGTTCTTCATGTCACTTTTCCCAAAGAGTGGAAGACTAGTGACCTTTACCAGCTTTTTAGTGCCTTTGGTGAGTAATATAATCTATTCTTCCTTATGTCTTTTTTCTTTTATCCTCTGACAATGGAAAATACGTCTGGTTTTCTTTGTTATTTTTGAACTATGAATTTGGGCTTAGTATGGATAATGATAAATCATATTCAGAAATTTTTGAAAGATACCTTTTAGAATTTCTTTGTAGTGATGTGTCTGAAATGTCTGCCCTGCTGAACTGCTCTTTTGAAATGTCTGTTACCTGGTACTTGTTAAATGTTGTGGAACATTCATCTTTATATTCATATCCTCTTCTGGTAAAGAGTTGAGACTGTGTAGGTGACCAAAGGGAAAGGCTATTGGTATGAAAGGCAAATCAAGCCCTCAGGAGTGAAGTCTGTGACTTAAGTCATAGTTTGTAGTGTGGCAAATGGATTTAGGGGCAAACCTGAACCTTCGCTTGATTAAGAAGTTACAGTGTGAACCATAAGGATGTTTAATCACCAGTAACAGGGTGAAAGTCTCTCAGTATACTCAATATTGTCACTTCAGTGCTTGTTCTGATTCTCTACAGTAATAACTATTGTCATATAACTATAATGATGTTTCAATAATAATATGTCTCTTCTCCACCTAGAATGTGATTCAGTAGTCTATTCGGGATCTCTGTTCCTTCCGACTTGATCTGCATTGCAGTGTGATGCTACTGTAATGCAGGATAGAACTTAATATTCAAATTTGATAAGTCTAGAATGTAAGTTGCTGAGATTTTCCTTCAATTACACTCGTAGGAGTAAGAACTCCATGTAAGAGCAGCTTGGGTGTTATTTCTGCAGGCTTTTAAATACTCAGCCATATAACTTCACTTATTTTAACAACAACTCTTTTCAGTGTTGGTGTGAAACAGAAGCAGGGATCACTACCACCAGAGGTCATGCTTACACATCTGAAACACTATTCAATTTGGAATTGGAATTTATCTGTTTTTTACAGATTTTACAGCTGTGTGTTTGTAAATTTAAATCTGAAGACTTGTGGTATTTTGGATAATGCTTAATCCATGTTTTATTTTATATTTTATTGTCATGGGAGCTCAAAACAGGCTGCAGAGGATGCCTTCCAGAATTATAGGAACCCATGCTTTTCCAGCTGTAGCTGGATAGAGAGACAGGCAATGTTAGATGAAGTGATTTGCCAAAAGTCCAAAAAATGTGGCAGCAACAGATGTGAATTATTTCAATTTATAAAGCTAATTGAATTAAAGTGTTTTTAAATTAAACTTTGACCTGGATTGTAAATAAATTGTCAATTTAAATAATAACGTTGATCTGTCCTTACAGAAAAATCATTTTGACTTGGTTTTAGCCTAGTACTTGAATTAGAGTTGTAATCTTCTGGGAAGTTTCTAATGAAAGCAGTGAGACAGCTGAAGAGACTGCGATGTCAAACTTGCAACTGAAGCACTGCATGCATACCAAGTAGAAACCTGTTCTTGCAAGATGTTTTTATGGTCTCATGAGGGAATGTAATTTCACAGTGCAAGTGCTCGCAGTACTGTGCAATCTCTTAAAACATTTTTTTCTTTAAATACTGATGTGAAGGTATTTAAAATAGTATTTGTTGGAATTCATTGCTTTTGTACATGTCTTTCACAGCTACTTAAATTAATGGGTTTTAATTAAAACATGTACTACCAGAGTATTGTAAAAACCTGCTATGTAAATTTTTTCCAAATGAGTGGAGTCAAACCTTTACATCCTGAACACGAGAGACTTCTCTGAGAGGGATGTGAACAGTGGTATATTCATGGAATCTTGCTGATCTGAAGATGCATAAATGACTTTTTAAAAAAAATGTAATTGATCCTTCATGTGTTTAAACCTTGTTCTGATAATCCAAGCTACTACATACGTAGCTTTAAGTGACTTTTAAATCCAACTTTAAGACTCATTTACAGGTTCCACACACTGACATTTGTTCCTGGGTCACTCTGCTGAAAAATCCCTGCTTAACTTTTTTTTTTTCTTTTTCTTTTTTTTTTTGTTTTAAGAGAAGTGGAGCTTAAAAAATGTGCCTGTCATACGTGAACAATCTAGTTTAATGAAGAACTTCTAGCTAAATATTCTTCTGTAGCTTAGGTTCACATAGGCATCAGAGCTTCATGTACTGCACCTTTTAAAATTGTAATTATTTTATTCTGATCCTATATTTCTGTGTACATTTCTGGTCTTTCCTCCCCTTTTTCACGCCAATGTTTCCTTCGGCTGTTTTTGCTTTCTTTGCACTCTGTTTTCCTGCCAGAAAGGTGGAAGCTCTGTTAACCCTTTTCAATTATTCACCAGGAAAATGTTGTTTGTGTTTAATATATGCTTCAACCCTTACTCACAGAAAAGATTCAGCTATTTCTTTTCCCTGATGTTGGTGTATAGAAACTTTGCAATCTTAGGGTGGTGTCAATGTGATCATTTTTCTTCTCTGTAATACAGTAGAATGTACTAACAATTTCTTTTTCTTTGGCTAAATGAAGGTAGCAAGTGATTAAGAAATATATGAAACAGAGCCAAAGTAAAACAGCTTTCCTGCCTTTTAGCAACCTACAACTTCAGGGATTCATGAGCTAGAGGTCACGTGTACATCTTTCAGTTTAAGTTCCTTTCATGGGTGAAAGTCACATGAAATTGAAGTGCATTTTAAGTCAGTTTGCATCACTTTTTAAAATCTTGTGAAGTCTGAAGGTTAAATGGTGATATGACTGTAGATATATATAATGTCATATCCTAATCTGCCTGAAAAAAGTTGCACCAGTTTTCAGTATCTGACATGTATGGACAGTCCTCTTCTAAGGACTGGAGATGTAAAAGGATTTCAGACTACAGAGTAAGTCCTTGTGTCTGAGGTGGGAATCTATGCCTACATGTTTGTTCCTTTGTGAGCAATTTTTGTGCCAGTGTTACATTTTAAGCTATTCCTGTAGAAAATGGAATGCATGTTTGATGAATGGAGGAACTCAATTCCAGTCACTGTTCCATTTGTGACAACTTCCAAATGAGCTGCACAGTTTTTGTGTATTTGACCTCCTCTTATTTATGAAAATGAGGTTTTCATTGTGCATCCAGGGAAAGTGTGTGTAGTATGACACAAACCAGATTTTGAGGACTTAATGTTGCAATTCTTAGAGTTCTCTGCTTGTGTGAGCCACCTTTTCCCCCCTACACTACCAGAATTTTTTTTATCTTGTGGCTGTATTGGAAAAGGAACAGTGAGTGGTAACTTGGGCCAATCCTTTCTTTGTCCTCAAGAAATGCTGCAGTTCTGAAGAATGGACTGGTTTTGAAACCCCAAGAGATGTTCTTTATTTTGGTACAAAACTGAAATTACATACCAAAATTGCTTTGATTTTTGTTGTGAAAATATATAGGGCACATGGAGTGAGGGCTGAAAAGCTGCTGATTGTAAATTCACTTGTTAAAAGATTGGAAGGAGAAAAAAAATACGAAAAGGCAGAAGAATCCTGTAGGAGTTGGGAAGGCATTAGTCAAATCTCAGAGTTTTTTTTTACTCCTTACTCAAGTGAGTCTGAGGGTATACAGGATGAACATGCAGTGGTCACTCTTTCTGAAGTGGTTCTGGGCTCATGTATAAATGGTGATGCATTATTCACCTTTACTGTGGAATCTTGTTGCTAAAAAAAAAATTAAAAAAAAATTCTCAGCTGAAGTTACACTTCACTCAACCATCTTCTTATCTGTCATCTGGCACAGCAGATGAAATATGTGACTGAGCCTAAGATAAAAACAATCATTTCTTTTGCCTTTTTTAGGTAACATTCAGGTTTCGTGGATTGATGATACATCAGCATTTGTATCATTGAGCCAGCCAGAACAAGTACAAATAGGTAAGTGTTTCTGAAATTACTTCAGAATTAAGATGAGACTTCAACTGCTTTAAAATTCTCTAAGCCAGCAGCGTCTGCGATTCTAGTGACAAAACCACTGTGTTGCATAGAGGAGTGACCAATGGCTCTGAATTTATTGGAAGTAAACCTTCCAGTTATGCAGAAAAGCAGGTTTTGCTTTTGAGATTTTCTTTGTTCACTGTTGCTGGGTCCACCCTAGTGGTTTCCATGGTCAAGAAACTACCCATAACTTACAGCTTGAGAACACTGACTGGAAATAGCCTGTTACACATGATTATTCTGGTGTTGTCATCCCTTTTTATTCAATGCTCACATGAAAGCATCCAGCAGAGAGCCATGAAGGTGCTGAAGGGCCTGGAGCATCTCTCCTATGGGGAGAGGCTGAGAAACCCAGGTCTGTTCAGCCTGGGGAAAGGAAGACTGAGAGGGGATCTGATCAGTGTTTATCAGTCTCCAGAGGGAGGTGGAAGGCAAATGGATGAGGCCAGGCTCTTCTCGGTGGTGCGCAGCAATGGGACAAGGAGCAATGGCCTACAGTTTGGACTCAGGAAGTTCCATACTAACATGCAGAAGAACTTCCTTATGGTGAGGGTGACGGAGCGCTGGCACAGGCTGCCCAGAGAGGTGGGGCATCTCCTTCTGTGGGGATATTCCAGACCCATCTGGACGCTGAGCTGTGCGACCTATTGCAGGGACCTGCTTGAGCAGGGGGTTGGACTCAGTGATCTCTTCAGGTCCCTTCCAAGCCCTGTGATTCTGTGATTCTTTTCTTACTCTAACAGTGAGCTCTCACTGCTTTCCTGTGTCTGATTCTGTATCCAGAAAAAATTGTTGCAGGCTCAGTGGGGTTAACCAGCTCAGCAGCTGCTCAGAAATCCCCAGAAACACCATAAAGGAGGGCATGAGCCCATGTGACTTGCTAAGCAGCACAGAATGGGATTCTCCCATTTGGTGACAAGCTGTTAGATGATATCTAATGGCAATGCATTCTGTTTCTTTCCAAGAAGTCTCTCAGACCTGAGCAGTCTGTTCTCAATGTCTACTGGTACTCAAAGACCTTTTCTTTTACTAGAAAGTGTTCTGTGCATTTTACGTTTTTTGTATGTTAACAGATTTGAGCGCACTAGTTATATCAGCAGTTCTGTGCTAGTAAGTGCTGAGAACGAGGTGTGGTGAACTGCGTACTGGTGCAGTTGGGGAATCTTGTCTGTAACAAGAAATGGAATTGCTGGTTGATACGTTCTAGTCTTGGTCTCAAAGTAGAACTGGTGGCATAATTCACAGCACAGCTGTTTTACATCTTTCAGCATTAGTGATGCAGATTTAGGAGGACAGATTTGCTGTCAGTTATCTCCAACAATTTTCTCATCACTGCCTTTTCATTTGTTTGGGATTATTTGAAATACATGTCACAGATTTTGTTTTAGTTACTGTGGAATTTAAACAGGGTGCAAAGGTTAAATAGTTTGAATTCTTTCAGTATTTAAACTGCAACTTAAGAAAGTTAAAATCCTTTATAACAATCTGCTTACAAGTGCATGGTGTGGACAGTCTCAGTGGACTACACCATCATTTCTGTGTTCTTTGTTGAGGGATTTTTTTTTCTGCTGGTAACTGGAATGCTGAATTACTTAGCCAGCACGTGCAGCAGGGCAGACGAGGTGATGATGTTGGCCTGATGCTTTGCTGGCCTGCACACTTGCATGGAGATGCTTGAATCCATGCCACCAACTATCCTGCATTAAAACGGCATTTCACCTCAATTTTCTACTTATAAAGAAAGCTTTGATGTAAGCTTAGTGCAAGACCCGCGCAGTGGTACTGCAGACATGTGAGACAAGTTCAGGGTTTTTTTTCTAAATTAAAAAAAAATCGTTACAATGCAGCAAAGAAAGGAACGTAGAAGGTGTTTTTTGCAAGTATATCTGGACTTGTAAAGGTGCTGTGTTACATGGAAATAAGTGCATTTGAGTAGAACTTCCTTAAATTATTAGAGTAGTACTATGGGGCTTCAGGCTCCTGTCTGCACTTTTAAGAATAACAAATAGCTACTGTAAAACTACCAGTCTCACCTTTATACTGTTCTTAGTTGTGCTGAATGGTGATAAAACAGGGCGAGGCTATCAGAAAAAGGAAAGAAAGGGAAAAAGGTGCATCATGGATTACCTGAAGAGAGGAAATAGACTTCACTGTCCGTGTGCGCGTCTTGTGGAATTAGGTACTGAGCTAAATAACAAAATATATCTATTTTGTAATGGAAAAACGGTGCCTGACGCAATGACTTGTCCTTGCATGTTTTGTACTTGAGTCTTAAAATTTCTCTAACAAAATATTGAGACTTGGTATGTTTAATGCAATAGCTTCCAGCCTGTTTACAGTCTGGGCAGCTGAGGAGGAGCAATCCATACACGGAAGTCTGATGGATTCCCTTGGGGAGGAAACATCAGGCAGGTTGTTGAAGAGTCAGAAACTTCTTGAAGCACATGTACTGAATGCTGCATCTGGTACTTGGAGACTTGAGAATTCCTATTAGTGATATTGAGGCTTCCTTCCTTATCACTGAATAAAAGACTGAATAAATCATTTTGATGATCTGTGAGAGAGTGAATGGGTTTATATTTCTGGAATTGTGTTGACTGAGTAAATTCTTAATTTCTTCAAGGCATTTGAATGTTTCTAGGTCATTCTGGGATCCAAAATTGCACTATATTATAAGTTTTTGAACAATTAGGCTCTTCCATGTGCTAAAGTGTTTTCTATCAGTTATTTTAAAATAAATGTCTCCTGACCTCAGAGCGAAGACTTTCCCTTCGTGATGCCTCAGTGCAGGATTATCCTGGAGGATCTTCCCTGAGACCTCAATACCTAATACTTTCTTCTAGCTAACTCTTGACTATTTTATTTTTTATAAACAGTTTGCGGTGAGGATTTTTTCCTCTTTAGCCTTCCTTGAGGACAAGGATCTTGAGGAGCGTGCTAATGAAGTGTCACTTTATTGGGGAAGGCTGCGCAAGCCTGCAGTACTTACCTTGGCATGGGCAAAAGGATTTGCAGCGGCACAGCTGCTATGGAAAATGGAGAGCAGGCGATCTGTGCCTGAATTAGCCATTATTTTTGACTTCCTTCAGCCACAATTGGAATATATTTACTTGACATTATGAGAAGTAGACTTACGTGCGATAATTCTGCTGAAAGTGAATAAAACTATTTTCGGGATAAAGTTTTATTTAAATCCAAGCTTTAGCAAGTGATTTGCTAAATACATCCAGCTCAACAAAGTACCTGCCTTGCTAGTGTGTGTTGCTATCAAGTTTAGATAACTTTTTTTGTAAATAATGTTGAGAAAATGTCTGTCTGCTAAGACTTTTCAGCTGCAGCCATGTGGTGTTGGTTACCAACATTACCAACTGGTTTCTCTCAGGAAAATTTATCTTCATTTTATGATTTAAAAATAAGTTAATAAAAATTCTGTTCTCTTTAGTTTGATATATTTTGTTAGAATTCACAAGACATTCAAGCAATGCTTTTCTTCAATTGGCACTGGAGAGTTAAGGTAGCTCTATTTGGTTTGGTAGCATTGACAGCCTTCATCAAAAGAGCATCAGAGAAAATGTTTTTAAAACTTACAGAGAGCTGCTTTTTAATTCAAGACCATGCAAGATTTAATTGTCTGTGTTGTTCCTTAGAATTGTCCACGTCTTCATTTCAGTTGTGCTTTGCATGGAGAAATATTTTTAGCATATACCTTTTATGTGCTCAATTGAGCATATAATATGCTAGTTACAGTCATGGTTTAGCTCTTTAGCACCACTCATATGTATATACATATATATAAGTGAATATGTATGTGGAATGTGAATATGCTGCTAAAAATAAAAGGTCTTATTTCAAGAAAGAAGAGTTGTCTGACCAAAAATATTTATTCTCATACTGGTTTTAAAAAATGACCTTTAGGCTGCTTAATAAGGATTATCTTTTTCTTAAATGCGAGCGGGGTTTGTTAGGGAATTAAATGGAAGAGCCATAACTCTGGCTCCTAGTGTAAAGCAAAACAAATAATGTGAAATTGTTATTGTGTTTTAACAAATCACTGTTTATCAGATGATCCATGGTAACTATGTGCTTGATTTTAGCAAGTAAAAACATGCTTGAGTTTAACTAAACAAATGTTGCCCTTGGGAATGTTGGCTGGTATGCAGTAACTCCAGTGAGCATTAGTAATTCATTCACGATGCCTGCACCCTTCATGGGCAGTATATATTCTCAGTGTATATATATATTCTTATGAACAGATCCTCTGACTTCACAGTCCAGACAAATGTAAGGGGCGTGAAAGGAGGTATGTTTAACACGCCTTTAATTAGTGCAATAGTCTCATGAGGCTATTAGTCAAAATTGCAGATATCTATTCTTGGGAATAGATATACAAGATATTGATGCCAAGTTTTACATAAGTTTGAAAGACTTTGCAGCAGCAGCGTCTATGTGCCATGACTTGTACTACAGGTAATTACTTTCATAGTAGCATAGTCAATATGCACAATAGAAGACCTACTCTGAAAGAGTAAAAACCAACCTGCATTTCTGAACGGTGATGTGGGAGCATGCTATCTCTTGTGTGTGCATTAGAGGTTGTGCAGAATGCTCTGCATTTGAGGTGACAGCACTTCATAACGAATGGGAAGGTGATACACACATCTGAAATTTCTACAGAAGGGCTGGAAGTACACAAAATAAGGATTTCATCTCCACTTTACTGTTACAGTATTTTAAAATGCTCTGCCTGCATACGTGAAAAGGAATGTGTTTTTTTTTTTTTTTTTTGTCTTATATTTAAATGGTTTGCTGATTTATGACATTTTATTTCAGTGACTTAAGCTAAAAACAGTAGAGGACACCAGTTGACAGCCAGTATAATTTGCTGATTCATCTGTTCCAGCAATGGCTTTATGCCAGAGCTTGGCTTACAGATTAAAAGCAACTCTGCAAAGATGCTGGGACTCAAAGGAACACTGGTGAATTGTTGCTGAGTGAAGGCAGTGACAGTTTTTTCTTTCTAGGCGATTCTAATTTTGTGTTGACTCAAATCCTTCTACCTCCAACTGGCAGTATTTTTTTCAGTTAAGTGGAGATGGAACATTAGAAAGATACGAGGAGGCAGCAGCTGGATTCTAGTTAGTTGCTTCCACCAATATCTTGGGCAACAAAAAATGCAGCTCCAATAAGCTTATGTTTCACAGCAATCAAACAGAGTTTTGGCAGAGCCTTTGCAAATGTCGTCTTTTCCTGGCAGACATGCAAAATAAACCTGCTGGGTTAAGTAATGAGACTAAAAGGGAAAAAATCCAGGAAATCTCTTCTTGCCAACAAGCAATCTGGAAGAGGACTGTGACTGAAGAACTGATGATTTCTAATTTAAAAGAATTAACCCTTCTTGTGTGAAGTCTCACTCAGAAGTATTTTGAATATGTAATTCAAACATGCAGTGTGGATTTAGGAGAGTACAGCTATTTGTCTGTTTGTTTTACCACTAGCAGTGAAATAGATAGAAGACATTTGTATGAATAGAACAAATAATTTGCTGCCTTCTACTCTTAAAATTAAGTTATCTCAGAAGGCATGTTGTCATTTAAGTGTTTTGTTTATAACATCACTTGTCTTTTCCATAGCTGTAAACACCAGCAGATATGCTGAAAGTTACAGGATCCAGACGTACGCAGAATATGTTGAAAAAAAACATGAAGAAAAGAGAGCAAAGAGAAAATGTACAGAAGATAGTTGGAAGGAGATGGAGAGAAAACGGTTGAAAACTCAAGGTGCACCTTACATTTCCCAGAGTCGATACTACTGTGTTGACAGGTGAGACTTCCTGTATTGCAGACTCATTTTTATTATATTTTCATCAAAGGCATAGTGCTTTTGAGATAGTTCATACCTGGCATTTTTCTCTGTACGTATATTTTATTAATTTGCATGTAAATCATTAGTGGTACAGCACCTGTCACAAGATCATAGATAAAGGAATAGAGGGGATTTGGTGATGAGGCAAACATGAAATATTGTGATACTGGGAGCAGGCCAACTCACAGCTTCTGAGCTTGATGGAGCAGCACCGTTTCTTGAAACCAAAATAAAAAAGTTACCTGTTTCATTTTTTTTCACATCTCAACATGGCTGCTGTCGTTTGGGAACTCTGAAAGCTCTCTTCTTATGCTACCATAAAGATGATCTTTGTTTTTTTGGGATGATTTTCCATGGTGATATTGCCACAGTGAAGGGTATAAATTACCATCTTAGGCAGTCCTGATGGAGTCATCCTTGTGTTTCAGGAACAGGAAGGTAAATGAAGATAGCCAGTCCTAGATTTGTTTCTAATGAGGAAGTCTCTCTCCTCAATGAATGCTGTTATGTGTATTTTGGGACCTCACAGATTCTAGACAAACAGTGAGTGTGGTGGCTTATGGTTTGAACCATAGATAATTCTGTCTTTTAACAAATATTTCGGAAAGCAGTAAGACTGCAAGACAGGTTTGTTTCTATCTTTCAAATTAGTAGGGGATGATCACAAATGTGTAATGTGGAAAGCTGCTGAATAAATTTCAGTGAACTGTTTCCTCAATTTTGTTTGTATCCCAATGAGTTGTCTGCCTGAACACTTCATGTCCTTGAAAATTTTTAATCTGTTTTTCTTGTATTGAAAGATTCCTCAAGAAGCACCCTTACTATGTTTTTTTTTTTTTTTTGGATGATCAACATTTTGATAACCCTGGAAAGCAGTCTTCAATTTGTTAATAGACTGAACTTCTTTTTTAATTGATGTTCTATAAATTTTAGTTCTCATTATTCCAGAAATAAAGTGATTTGATTGTCTTCCAAATTCCCTTCCATGCAGATCTTTTGGCATGTTTTTTCTTAGTTTTATTTCTCTTTGTTACTCGATAGATTGTGCTCTCTTGTCAACTTGTCTCATGCAAATATTTCCTCTTTCCAGTGTGATCTGGCAGTTGTACCAGCTTAGGTATAACATGTAACTTCAAACCTTGTGGTCTTTCAGTTTACCTAAGGTAACTGTAGATGCATTTTTCTTTCCAGAGATATATAAACACAAACATTTTAAAGATATATGTAAATATATTTATACAGTATTATAAATGATTATATGTGTGTATATGTGCATATTTTTCCAGATTAATCTGAACCATATATAGCTAAGTACTCATTACTATGATGAAGCTAGCAGCTGATCTCTTATAATAGCTTCATGTTACTGCATCCTTTATTTATTTATTACTTAATAAACTTACTGCATCAGCTTCTGCCAGAGAAGGGAACACAGCTGCAGAATAGCTGTTCTTCTCCATGGTGGCAATATGTTCATTCAGTAGTGAAGTTGTTGGTTTTTTCTTACAAGCAAAGCCTCTGTCTTACATTGGCAAAGTTAGAAGAAAGTAGTGAAGGTTCATTAATTCATTCTTAACTCCAGATTTTCCTTCTACCATCTTCCTCCCATGGCATTCATCCTGGCAGGCTGGTGTTTAGATAGGTCAGCAGAAAGGAGAGGTTGGGGAGGGAGGGCTCTGCCTGAGGTGAAGACGTGCACAACCATACCTGCTATCTTCAGTGACCATCAGAAAAACTGCATTGTGTTAATTAAGGAGATTTGCCAACTGGTGATATACGATAGGCTTTTCTTACTTTTTTCCCTTAACTTGGCTAGTCATTTTACTTTAAAACTAAGAATAAAACTTTATTTTGCTGCCCCAAAATGGTTTGGACTCTGCTCAAATATGTATATATAAAATCGTATTGTTGCCTGGGTAGCTGTTAAATGTGTGTTCTGAAGGCTGGTCTAAGACTGTCTCTACATGCTTTAGGTATCCAGAAAGATGAGGATTCTGAATGGGAAAATTACTGATAGCTTGCAGTTTGTTTTTTTCCACTTTGTTCAGTTGTTTCTCAGCAGAGCAAGGAAATTGAGACAGACGGGTGGACGTGCTCCAAAATAGCTGATAAAATTAGAAAACTGAACTTTGCTCTGACTAGTGCTCTGACTCGTATATACAACCATACTCATTTGCTACTATTGCTAAGTGAATAAATAACATTGCTGTACTTCTTGAACCTTATTTTAGGTCAAACAAGAATAGGACACATGGGGAAAAAAAGAATCAACCAAACCCACAATGTGTAGTCATGTGGAGTCCATGCAGTGAATGAGTAAATGCAGAAAAAAAACCTAATAAGTTAGGAGAAAGCAGGAAGTCAACAGTACTCAATTTTGATTCTTGTGCTACCTGTTTTCTGCTGTGCTTTTAGTTTTGTTTTCTATTTTTGTCTGCAGGAAAAATGTGAAGCCTGAAATTAGTTTTTATTTCGTACTTATTCCTTACAGTAAGTTTTTTTCTAAGAGCCCTTCCAGTATCTCTAAGTCCTGCAATCATAATTTATGGGTCATGATTTTTCTTCCCTATGTATTTTTCAAAATACCTTTCCTGAAAGTATAATTCTTAAACTTTTCAATTTTTTTTTTAATATAATAGCAAGCAGTTTGCTCCAGAAGTAATGCCTCCTATTTATGTCCGTGGAAGTGACAACAGACACAAAGAGCACAATCTTGCTATTTGATAGAGAAAATGCTCACCTGATTTTTTCAATGTTCTTTGCCCCCTAAAAAAAAACTGCACCAGTTGAGGTGATTGCTGTCACTGTCACCACTGCTGAAATGCACCACCCCTTCTTACTGCACTGTTCAGTCTCCATAAATATTCACAAGCACTGATACGTGTCAGTGGGGGCCCTTTTTTTCCACAAGGAGGAATCCAGTTCCACCCTTTGCTCCACCCTCACTTCATGTCAGGCGCCATTCTGTCACAGTGCCCCTCTGCTGCCATCTGTCACACAGCAACAACGTGTCACGGAACGCTGGTGGGAAGGTTCAGCCTCTGCTGCCATCCCACCAACAGCTGCCTCTGATGTTGTGGGCTGACATCATAAAATAGGAGGCATTACTTTTGGAGCAAGCCCTTGTAATTTTTAATTTTCTAACTGCTTTGTTTTCACGAGAGCTCTTTGCTCCTGTCTCACCCCCCTCCCTTTCCAAACAGCTTTTTGGCTTTCATCATTCTACTGATGGTAGTTGTGTTATGGTGTGACTTGAAAACAAGGTTTATAAGAGGTCGTTCAAGAAGGCCTTCTGTGTGTGAATGTTTGGAGAAAGAGCCAGCTGTTCATCAGAGTAAATGGTGTTTGTGTTCCTAAAGTTGAAGTAAGAGCATGAAGCATAATCATGTTTCATGTTTGTTTACTGCTTTTGGATATCCCAGAAAGAGTCTGTTCTAAAATGTTCAGATGAAAAAGGGCCTCCACTTCAAAGCCAAAACTATGTAGCTAGATCTTACATTCCTTTACCTGAACCTTGTTGATACCCTGTGCTTCTTTGTATTAGTGACTAAAAGAAAAAAATACAACATTTAAAAGTTTTGTTCTATAACTTAGAAATAAAAGCATTGAATATTGAATGAAAGAATAGCCATCTTGTTTCGTTATTAATAATTGCATTCTAGTTGAATGAAAATCTCTGTAGCATTATTTCAGTGTATCCTGAATGAAACAGAGCTCTAAGTGCATGTTCATGATGTTTTCTCTGTAGTAGAAATACTTATAAAACTGCGTGTAGTTTTGAGAGAGCAGATGAACTTAGCATGTAGAAGCCTTCAATATGAAGATGAACAGCTTTAATTACACCTAAGCTGAGTGATTTCAGCAGAATAGCAGCTAAGCCTGAGACATCTACATCTCAAACAATAAATACCTTCATTTGCATAACATCCTAGTTGATGACTTTTATGGACTCTTACAGTTGAATTGCATCTTCCAGATAATGTAATGTCATGGCTCAGCACTTCATACAGTTTATATTACACTTTCTTAAGCATTTAATAGATACGTAGTAACTAGTACCATGTAATAGTTATTCTTAACTTGTTGATAACAATATTTTTTTTACATTTCAGTTTTACAGGTACCAGTATAGTGGGAAAGAGAAGTATGAGTCCTATTCAGGAAGAAACTGGTTCTGACAATTTGGAAGAGGAAGGGGTTCCAGAAGATCAGACAAACTCCTATGCAGAGTCACCTCCAGATGTTAAGAAGAGAGCCAAAAGGTTCAAAAAAATCAAGAGAGAACAAGTTTCAGCAGGTAAAAGCAATGTTCTTGATCATAATTTTCTGTTCTGTTTGAAACTGCCCTAGACCTGAACAGAACTGAGGTTTGTTGTTGAGGGTTTTTTGTTTGTTTTTTTTGCTTGTTTGTTTTTTATATCTCAATTTTTCTGGACTTCTATGAATGTAATGCATTAAGGCACTGTTACAACTTATTTTGTTGTACGTTATTTAAACTGACAAAAAAATGCATCAAACTAAATGAAGCAGGATGTATTTGATTTCTTATTCACTTACTTTCTTCTATATAGTAACACTAAATATTTTTAGCTATTCTAAATTTCTTCTTTTTTCTTCAATGAGACTTTTTAATTATGCAGGGACTTCAAATAACCTTATCATAAACAAAAGTAAAAGAATTCTGGAAGCAGGATTCTGGAGTGGATCTCCCTGTTAGTCCAACAAACCGTCAGCAGTTGTAAGACTCCCCTCATGCAGACCTTTTCACTTAAGCTTGATTAGGAGTCTCAGAATGAATGAATGCATGCAGCTTGGTCTGCAAGATGTGTATCATTAAACAAACTCTCTTGCATGCAAAAGAGTCCAATTTTAATAAATCTACCCACTGCCCTGAAGGCTAATATATGTGTCCTTGTAACTAACACTTCTCAATGTTAACACAGACCATCTTGATGACACTGCACTGGCATCCCTTATTCACTGTTATTTGGGAGATAGTTCTGTAAGTTGAGGAACCAACGCTATTTTTCAATCTGGTCAGAATGTTATCTACCTTTATGACTAAGCCAAAACTTTCACAGTCAGCTTGCCTGCCCCACACAACTTGGCACAATGCTGATGCCCTTTCTTCTCTAGAACATCTGATAAAGTACTGGCTGAGACAGTTCCATCAAGGATTGAGCTGCCAGACTGGTGCACATCTACTGGGATCTTAATCTTAGGCAGGCCTTTCAGATTTTGTAGTGTTTAGCTTTTATGAATCACATAGCTGTGCTTTTATTTCCTGAGGAAAAGTGACTGTGATTAATATCCCTTCCTAGCATTTTGGATGAGTAGCTCACAGTCATCTTTAACGATTCTTGCAGTCTACCACATGCTCAGAATAAGCCCATGTTTATTTGAAAGACTTACAGGTCCATGAGCAGATCATTCACATTTCATGAACTGTTAGCTGTTGCAGCTTGTAGAAACTCATTTTTTCAGGAGACTGCGATTTTGAAAAGCAGAAGAAACAGTAGACAATTGACCTGTAAAACTGTCAAAATGTGGAGTTGCCCAAATGATGGTCTTTATTCTCTCTGAGGTATTTTATAGATCTTCTCTTTCTTCTTCTTCTTCTTCTTCTTTTTTTTTTTTTTTTTTAAGAAATCAATATGCAGTGCTTGAAAATCAATAGTGTTTCTAATATAAATTATAGATCTTTTCCTATCTTCTGTTAGGATGTATAAATTAGAATATGCAGTGTCTGTCTTGTTTTATTTGGAAGATTTTTCACATAGAGCTGATTTAAGAATTTCTTTTTGCTGACTTCAACTGCAACATTTTTCTAGCCAGAATACTTGGAATTGTGTTTGGCTGAATACAGACAGGTGACAGGTGATCATGCTTCAGGTGATATTTTCACTGTTTTGTGAGTTATTGCAGCCTGTAGAATAGAAGGGAGGATGGGGGATGTCTTTTAAACAGTTCAGTTGTTGGGTTCTCTTTGTAAATACTGACTTGCAAATAATGTATCTGGAGGAGAAAAATAGGATTTTGTATGCTTTAAAAGAACCAAAATATTCCTGACTTCTTTCCTTTCAGTATTTGTGTACTGAAGTCATTAATATAGAGCTTTCTGATTCTGTCTTTTTTAGGAAGCCTCACAAGTAATTCCACTGAAATTTTTGAAGTCCCTGAAACATGGTAGGAAATAACTGCCTTAACAAGTGGAATTGATTGAAAGCAGTTGTGAGAATACATCTCCTGGAAGCCATAATTTATTTAACTGAAGTGGTGTTAACAAATCAGTATGTGTCCTGAAAACCAGTTTAATTATTTTAAACTGTTACTGAACAATCACTGTCAATTTTACTTGTGTGTATATTGACTAGTATATGATCTTGTTGTTGATCAAGTGAAGTCCTTGTTATTAATTATGTTAGATTTAAGAAGCAAGACTAAATGTATTTCAGTCATCCACTTTGGCATGTTGGCTATGAAATGTACAAAAAGACCCGGCAGCCTATGATTTTGTGCTTGAGGGGAGTTACCACAAATCTTCTGATCTTTAGATATTTTTCCAGGCAACGTCAGAGTGCTGCCAGAACTCTTGATACAGGTAGAACTGCAGTTTCACATATTGCTTTTTACCTGTTACTATCTGGAAATCATTTTTTAGTTTTCCATTCTTTACTTCACCCCCAGTGCAACCAGCCTTCATCTGAATACCAGCTTTACAGATACCCTGTCTTTTCCAAAAATATAATTTATGTGCTCCTTAAATATGAGTTTCCTGGTGGGAGGTAGTTTTTTCTTTGTTTTCACATTTGCTGCTGTTTTCACCCTTAAGTCCCTATCTATTTCTTCCCTGCTTCTTCCCCATCTTGTGGGGTTTTTGTTAAAAATGTTTTTTGGTACCTGTGACAAACCTGCTAACTGTACCAGCCCTCTATTTGTTTAAAAAAGATCTGCATTGGTAGATTTCAGAAAATGTTTGATATTTAACATTTTTGTATCATGGAAATAAAAACAAAAGATGTATTTCCATAAAATGAAAATTAAAGAAATTTTCTTAGGAAGTGGTTTCCTTTTATGTATTGGCTCCTGAAATATATTTTTTGTGCTCTTATTTTGCTCTTCATAATGCTATTTTTTAAAATTATTTTTAAATCTTCATACAGTTTTCAGTCTATGTCTGGCAGACCCTCTGGGTCTATGGACTCACTACTTTCAAGATATTTGTGAAATGTAATGAAGAAAAGCCAAGTCTGTTGAAAAAAGTTTGCTATGCATTTCCCTTGGGAAAAAGAATGAGGGTTCTGCAAACCAGCAAGTTGAAAACCATTTCTATGGAAAAGTGGAATATTAAGAAAGTTACATCAGATTGTACTTACATCACAGTGTGAACCATTGTCATTTTAACAATGCAGCAACCTGCTTGAAGGTATGCCAAAATTTGTGGGTTTTTAAGTGATTGCAAGAACTGTCTTGAATCTTGAATTTGTTTTGCAGAAAGGAAAAGGATTTAAATCCCTCAAATGTGAAATGTCTTATTTTTAATCTTGGAATACTGCTGGAAGTAGTGCAGCTAAGGTTTGTTGTTATTGTTGGTTTGTTTAGTAGCAGCCATAGGATCATATTATTGCACTGAAACGTGGGACAGAAGACAGTGTTATTAGTGATGCCAGGGGAAAATTATCAACAGAACTCTAATGATCCAGAGTCTATGTAGCAGCATGGGAACTTGTCTTCATTTCATTACAATATAGAGGCTTAAATCCTTGCCGGATTATTATTTTTCAATGAAGAGTAGGCTGGGTGTATATTTCTCTAAGCTACTGTATCCACTATTTCCAGTCTTCTTCCCACTCTGAATTTTGGAGAGCAGGATGCTATTTAGCTGTACTTAGTACCTCTTAGGAAAATAATGCTATTTTGTTTTCTAGTCCTTGTGTAGCCTTTGATTTTACCAGATAATACCTACTTACACTAATAAAATGAGATGGGATTGGGACTGTGGTATCACTAGCACTAATTTTGGGTGGAGAGTTGTCAGGGGTAGATGCTGTTGTAAAGAGGAAATGACCCCCCTGATGTTTGCATCAGAACTTGTCATGCTGTGCTTTGTGCACCTCACTATAAATCAAAGCACTAATTCTAGCAGAGGAGGAAGTGGCTTCCTAAATTTGATGCACATTTGTTTCCTGATGTAAGTTTAAAATACGTGCCTGCAGTTTGCACCTTTACAGCCTTTATTCCCAGAACACAAAGTTGTCAGCACCAGCCTGCAGCCACGGCATCTCCCGAGCTGTGACCCCCGGGCTGTGCGCTGCCTGTGACAGGAGGGTGGGCACCTGGGGTTGGGGCGGCTGTGTGGGGGTGCTGGGGCTGCAGTGAGGTGTGGACGGGCTGTTTTGGCCTGGTAAAGTCGGGTGTATCTACCATACTCGGATAGAATTCCTTAATGTTTTTTTTCTCTCTTCATTCCTTTTTTTCCTCAGGGGAAGTGGGGAGTAAACCCCATGGATGTTGTTTAATTTTGAAGCTCTTTGTTTTCTGTTTGAGGAAGCAGCGGCGGCTATACCTGGTTCTGTGTGCTGCACGATTGCCCTAATCGGGGCCAGAACAACTTCCGGCAGGAGGAGACCTCCACAGTGCTTGGCGCTGGGGGCCTCGGGGCGCCCGGCCTCCATCTTCCCTCAGGGCAGGGCGCCCTCAGCGCCGCTGGTGGGCGGTGGGTGCAGGAGCAGCGCTGTGTGCAGCCAGGACGAGGTGAGTGCCCAGAGCCTTAACGGCTCGTTTTTCTGCTCTTCAGTTGCATAAAATAGCCAGTGTTACCTTGCTGATGGTTGTGCTGAAGTGAAAGGATTCCTTCAGCAGACGGTGGGCGCTGCAGTGGAGCTGTGGTGCTCTGTGCTTGTGCTGAGGTGAGGCTGGCGGTTCCGCTGCAGGCGGTGGGGATGGGCCGCAGTGCAGTGCCAGCACGCGGCTCTCGGCTGTTACCCGCAGCTAGCGGTGGTGGAAGCAGAAATTCAATTGGGAAAGCGAGGGAGTTTTGTGATTGAAAGAGGAGAACTTGGGAGTGGAGACCTGAATGTGAGAAGTAAGGAAAACCTCTCCACAGGGGAATAAAGCAGGAGGGCTGGACTGTATTTATTTGACTGAAATTTAAACTTGACAGTGACCAATTATCAATAGCACTTGAGCGCTTCATTGTTTGAATTGAAAATAATGTTAAAATAATACTTAAATTGATCGTATGCAAAAGTATCTCAAGCATCTCTGGGATGAGAGGTGGCTTGGACCAGAAAGCACAGGTGTGGCAGCGCGGGGCATGGTTGGTTCTGGTGGATGGGAGAAGCGCCTGTGAAGGGCATGGCGTAGTACTGAGTAAAGAGAACAGCACGAGTGTCCCTGCGGTGTGGATGAGAAGAGGGGCAGATGAGTGGATGAGGCCTGAGGGAGAATGAGTATCCCAAGTACTGTTACCGTTGCTGGGAGTGCAGCAACCTATGCATGCACTCAGCTCCGAGCTTGTTTTGGAATAAAAACAAAATGCTTCAGATGATTTAGATGGAAGAGTAAATTATTTATCCATCCAGTGAAGAAAGAAAGAGAGAGGTAGAAAGCTAAAACGTAGTGATTCTTGAAAAAAATAGTGGCGTTAGCCCCTTTCTTTCTTTCAGCCTTTGAGTTCTGTCATGGTGCCTGAAGATGTCTGGTCTCCCACATGTACCCTGTGTCTTTAAATCGTGATAAATGTGACACAGGTAAAAATGTTCTCTGCACTTCAACTTCAGGGCATACATGAGAGTACTGTTGGTAATCAGGAGATCTTGGCTTCTAAGTCTGTAGACTACTGCCAGCTGAGCAGGTATGCACAGTGAAGAAGATTCCTTAAGATTCTCCACAGTACACTAGTACATAAACACACAATTGCTTGTCTATTTGTGGTGCTTTTGTGGCTTTGAACTTAAACTGACTAACTCCAGGTGACTGACTTCTCCTGTGTGTTTTACAGAAGCAGTGCCTCACCATAGCTGGTTCAGGAGCTGGTGGGCTCGGTTGGAATTTATAGGATAATTAAGATGTTCTTTTTTTGCTTTAATAGATGCATGTGAAATTTTTTTAAAAATAAACAGCCATGAACGTTACAGCAGATCATGGGTAGGTCACAGCTCAAAACGAAGTCATATGGAATGATTTATTCATAAATATGATGCAGAAAACGTTTAATGAAAAGAAAAAGTTAGACTTCCCCATTGTTAAAATCATTTCTTTAAAATGTCTCTGTATGTTTTTGCAAGCAATTTCCTGGTTTATGACTAGAATCACCCTGTGTGATCTGATTGCTGTTAGAATGTAATTGAATGTGAAAATTTGGAGGTTGCCACTGTGGCTAGTATTTCATCCTAATTTATGATCTGCTTACAACCCATCAAATGATTGACAAGACAACTGTTTTCAAGGTGATTACTTTGAAATCAGCCTTTGAGGCTGAATTGAGAAATGTGGCTGATTTCTTTTTGTGTATATGGTATAACAGCTTGAAGGACAACAATATACTGACGAAATTTGTAGTTTTCTCAAGTTTACATAGAGAAAACTTCCTGACTTGAAGGCTGAAGGGCCTCTTGTTTTCTTTTTAGCAATTGTTTTATTTAATAAAATGTTAAAAATACACAAAGATAGCAGTAGCAGTGAAGAATTGGTTAGCTGTAATAGTGTACCTGTGTACATTTAATATTCCCTAAATAAAACTAAAAATAGTTGTGCAAATAAGACTTCATATAGGGAGTGTTCAGTTATGCTCAGGAATTCTCAACACTGAAAGTGAAATTAGATCAGAGAATGAAGGATAAAGGTGTTTTCATGTTTTGTTGATACCACATTAATGCTGCCCGTGGCTGTGGAGCACCCGGCTGGGGCACAAGAAGCTGTAACACACAGTGGAGCACGATCACAGCTGCTGTTTTGGTGTTGTCCTTGTGGTCAGACTTAGAGCCACTCACATTTGCAGTGAGAATCTGAGCACCTGATTTAGTCTTTTCACTGTAGCTTGTGAAGAAGAGCAATATTTTCTTACCAAGCAGTCCTACGAGGTTTGCAGCTTGCATGTTTTGAGACAGCTGGAATTTTCTATATATGCTCTTAAGGCTCTCCATGTTGTGTTTGCTTTTTCCATTGAAATAATTGCTCAGTGTTACCAGATTTTGGACAGAGAGGCATCACTTCAATGCCTGAATGTCTCATTCCAGACCATTTTCTGTAGGCCTGGTTGTATTGCAAGGCCTGTTCTAAAAACACCCACAAAACTGCTTGTCTATCTCTAAATGTATTTGATGACTGCTCTTGCATGAATGTCTGATAGCGGCAGGAAGAACAAGGCCAAAGCTTGGCGTGTCAGGGCTGCTGGAAAGCAAACACTCAGTGATGGTTTTGGTCTGACTGGGCAAGCGGCAGAAATCTGTAGGCAGAGCCAGCAGGAGGTTGAGCCTCACCTGGTGCTTGAAGCAAGACAAGTGCTACCAGAGTGACTTCACACTCACAAAACTTTCTTCTTTTTTTTTTAATGCTAAACTAGATTGTCATTTAGATATTTAGACTTGTGTATGACATAACAGCTTTCCAGTTTTGTCTACAGAGACACAAACTGCATTAAAACTTTACATTGTCTACCCTAGGAAAAACAGAAAGGTGAAAAAGTTTACTGTGGTGATGTGTAAATACAGAAGTGTTAGCAGATGAGAAAAAACTGCTGTGCTCTCATTAGCTTTTGCATTTTTTCCGCTGCTGCTCTTGCTCTGTATGCTGTGAACTAATGGGCATAAGTGCTTACCCCATTGTTTAGAAGAGCGTTACTGACTTCTATCCACATTGGAAATAAAAAAGCATTACACACAGTTTTCAAACCTTGCAGTGCAAGGTGACAAACTGATATGGTGCTGCCATATTCCAGTCTTCTCCTGTGGAAAATGAACCAGCATGAATGATCCTAAGAGGAAATCCAAGCTATGCCACTGATCCCTCTGGGTGAGTGGATCCACCTTAGCGAGCTCTGACTGGCTTTTAGGTAACTGAAATCAGTACTGGAAACTGGAATGGAAGAAATGGCTAAT